CCAAACTTTCAGCTTGATCCATAAGATTATTTTTTCTAAAAAGCACAGCAACATTTTGTTCCAGTTTTTTAAAGTTAAGATGACTTTCTGAGGTGCTGTCCCCATGGCAACCAACTGGCAACATGATCCTGTTTTGTTATCACAAACATCAGGAGTGCCTCTTGTGAGGTCTGATAGAGACAGACTTACATTTCAGAACTTTATCACTTGCATTTTTGTTTTTGTTCTTCCATGTGAGCTGCTCTTGAGTTTTCAAATATGGAGAACACAGTTCTACCATATTATAATCACAAAAAACAATATTTCTGCTTCTATGAGATTCTTGGTTTATTTTTTAGCTTTTCTTGAGGCTGAAATTGTTCCTGAAGCCAAACGAAGTAATGTCATGACTCGAGGCAAGTGTTTAACCCAAGACATGCGGAATAATAACTCGTCGGCAGAATTGGTAAAATAAAGTCCTTTATTACAAAAACGGGAATGGAAAACACAGGGAAGTCCTGCGTGAGAGGGCGGTGCCGCTCTAGTCCTTGTAGCATTCGGGATGAACGAGAGAGGGGGAAGCTGGGGTGAGCGCTGTGCAGAGAGTGAACGCTCCAGGAGGGGTGAGGTAGCAGAGGGACCTAAACAGGAACCACAGAGGAGGATGGGACGTGGTGTGAGAGATCCAATGTTCGTAGACAGCAAGGTGGAGTAGATGGTGTGAAAGTCCTGAGCAGAAGGGAAACAAACACCAGACGTCAGGCAAAATCCAAAAACGTAATCCAATACACGGTCCGAGGTCATAAATCCAATAATCAGAGAGCTAGTCAAAAACACGCGCGAACAAGAACAAACAAGTGGCTGGGGCTATCAAAACTGGTGCAATCTTCCGGCAAAGTGATGTGTCTCCTTCCTCCCTTTGAACCCGTGTCCCTGATTGGAAAATCTCCTGCAGCTGCCGCTCCCTCTGCTCCTCACCTGTGGAGAATTAGCTCAGAGCTGATGAAAGGAGATGGTGTGACTCACCTCTGCCCAGGAACATGACAAGTAATGAGATTTCAAGCCATTTATTTGTCTTATCAAAACAGTCAGATATCCCTTCCAATTGTAATTGGAAACAATGTTAAGTCAAATGAAACTTCTCTGACTGAGCCAAATGTGTGACATATGTCATTTGGTCAATCTAATCTACTGATTTTCACAAACAAAGAGCACTAATCCCAGAATGAACAAGCTTCGCAGAGCTGCCTGAATAAACTATTCACTGTCTTTTTGTGAATTAAGCTGATGGACAGTATCAGCCAAGTGATCAAAAACACCTTACTCAGAACCAATCTGTCAATGTTTGGTCAATAAAGCGGCAGGAAAGTAGCCACACATAAAACCGTGATTGTTTTATGGTATCATAAATATTCATGGCTGTGTCTCCAGAGATATCTTTTTCTGGAGATGCTTGGTCAATGGTCCTTGGTACTAAATAATTCCCACTGTGGGTTGCACTCTGTTTAGGCTTCCCTTTGTCTTGGCTCCTGTTTGTGGAGGTTAATAGATAAGATCTCCAGGTTTTGGTAGTGGGGGTGGAGGGTGCCTGGCGAGGGAACATCAGATGACGGTATCTTCTCTGCCCTTGCAGATAAAGTTGTTCTATAGACTATCTGTGAGTGATGGGGCATTCCATATTCTAGATGAGAGCTGGCTTTGCCCTGAGTGGGTACAAGTTGGATGCTGTATTTGGGGTTGGGATTGAGTTTTAGCCTCCTGCAGAAGAGTGTAATTGTTTTGTCTTGTTTATGTTTATGATAAATGGATTAACAGGAAAGCTCTCAATTCACCAATCTACCTTCCTCTCACTTGAGTTGACCAAAAGAACAAATTCCCAGACACATGTAGCTAAAATAATGGTAGTCTGCAGGGCGCCTGGGCGCAACTTTATGGATAAGGAAGCTCTGGATCAAAAAGAGCTAATTGAAGTGGTTCCCAGTTCCCAGTTCCAGGCAGCTTGGAGCAAATCTTAGATGTATTGTATATTTTCTCTAACCCGGGAATGCTTTGGGATTTTTCAGGAGAAGCTGGAGGATTTTGCTGGAATATCTGGGTTTATTTTCTCAATCAGTGTGACATCAGTGACAGACAGTTGAAAGCTGGATTGATTTGGTTGTTTTTGAATTTAAAGGGGACAAATTATGCAAAACTCACCTTTTGTATCCTCTTGTGCTGCCACGGTGGTCTTTACCAATTCTGTAAACACTGCAAAAGTGAAACAGTTTGTCCATCCATTTTCTGTCGGTGTTTGTTTTTAGGACAGGGGTGATTAGAACGAGCAGCTTCAAAAATTCTCTGTTTGTGATGTCACAAACTATCTGGCTAGCTCCAGCTTATTTTCTTAAAGTGACAGAGCCCTGAAATGGCTCATTCTGGAAGGTACTGAAACTACCAAGAATAAAACTGCTTTTTAAGTATTATACCTTCAGAAAAAAAGTCATAATATGTCTCCTTTTACATTTTCCCACCATTTAGTGCAAAATCTTTAAATTTGATTAAAGCAAGCTGTCATTTTGCCATTTAGTACATTGTATTATAGCCCAAACAACTTTCAAACCAATATTTTACAAATTAAATGTAAAAATGCCCACAAGAAACACAAGTGGTTATATTTCTGTGTCAAGAATCAAAAGCATGACATTGGTCATAATCCTCCTTTAAGCCAACCCACCCATCCTGAACACTGGATCCTGTCTCTTAGGACCAGTTGGCTCAAAGAGGATGAGTTCATTTGTTCTTCTGCTCCTCGGTTTAAGTGCTCCAGCCTAATCCTAAATCCCATTATTGTCAACAAAGATTGATATCTCTACTAAAACTGACTGTTGTCTTCAGTGTACTTGCATTAATTACATTTTGAATGTGTATTAAAGCACTTGACATTAAAACATTTTCCAAAGCTGCACTTGGTAATGAGATTAATTCTCAGTGAGCAGAAAAAAGATCTTATTAAAATATAAAAATAAAAACCAACAACTGAGGTCACTGACTTATTTCTAAACAACGGAGGAAAGAGGTTTAGGTTCCCTAAAGGCTATCTGATGTGATTAACTGACTTCAGTGAGCAGAATTGAATTTAAAGCATGACCTCTGAGAGCTTCACCACCAGGGGAACAAAGAAATCCAGACTTCTTGTTTTCCTTCTCCCAGCAGAAGATGAGGTAAGGATTTTTAGCTTGGCACTAAGTAGACCCTGATCTGCTTTTTATTGACCTAAACCAGAGTCGCAGCAGCACATAATCACATTCTGTTTGCTGTTTACTCTTAATAATTCAAGTCGTTAATCTACTGGGCAGTTTTCAGTTAGAAATCACAATTTTATTTGTTTTTATTGTTTTTCTTTCATGATTTCCCTGCTGGACACCCTTTTTCTTGTTAAATTTTAAAGTCTGCATTTGCATCCCTAATCTTGTCAAAATAAAGAATCAGTTACTGTGTGGCTGATTGGGTGCATTTCATTTGACCCCTGCTGAAACAGCATCATCAACAAAACGGTGACATTTGAATGAATACATGAGAGCAGAGTTCATTATATAACAGCTGTGCTGCTGCTGGGCACAGACACTGACTCTTCATCACAAAAATGTTATTTTTGTTCTTGCTCAGCCTTGTTTTAGGCTGGCAAATAGAAGGATACAATCTGACAGGTGAAAACGAGAGTAAGAAGGTGAAAGAGAACAGTTCAGTACACGATTTAACATTTTCACTGCACTCTCCTTTCCTTTGATCATCATTCTGTGAGCCATAGTTAGCACAGAGCTAATTGGGAGAAAATAGCAACAAACACTCCAAATCACTTTTGACTTTTTCTTGTCCTCACAGCCAGAAGACATGTGAAGAAAAATCACTTTCTCCGTCATTGCACTAACGAGAAACAGGGAACTTTGGATGGAAAACTACAGGAGCAAGCAGATCTGAGCTTTCATGTTTTTTTTTTTTTTGTTTTTTTTTTTGTTTTTTTTGAGGCTCCAGATTTACAGCTGCTATAGCAAATCTGCAGACAAGCTAGGTTTTGAATGCAAACTTCCCTTCCCTGGATCCGTGTCCTCCAGAACCGGAAACCCACATTACTAGTGGAAAGGATAATGTGCTGAACACCAGTTTTCTTGGTCCAAACGTCTTTTGTTGTCCGTGGCTTCAAATGGTGTTTTTCTTTTTGGTACTGTGGTAGTTTTTCCTAAAGTTGAAGTGGTAGCAGCCGACTGTTTCTCCTTCCCTGATGTTATTGAGCGGGCAGCCTCTCACACCATTGGTGTTCTGTTGCAAAAGGTGTGAGTGCGTAATGAGTGGATGACCCAAATGTAATGATTGAGTGAGTGTTCCACACCTCTAGCACAAAAACTAAAGATCAAATATATTTAAGTTTGATTTCAAACTAATGAAAAACAGACTTTATTTGGTCCATGAGGGTCATCTAAAACTATATATATAAAAAAATCATGCTTCATTCATATTCAAGAAAATAGGTGAAAAAATATGTGTTGCCATGAGAACAAATTATTCTTGTTTTCTATTATAATTCAACAATGATGAGCCTAATGAGCTCCCTTAACAATAAACTTGTGTTAACAGGAGAAAACCTTAATTTATTCTCCCCCTTGAGGTCTCAGATGTAGTGAAATAAAATATTTTTTAATTTGTTTCATTATGATGTTTTAACATTTGTACAAAAAGGATTCAAAAAAGTCTAAGTAAACTGGTGATTCTGGCTTCATAAGTAAAAACCTTTATGTGAAATAAAGGATTTTTATGGTCCAGGGTGGATTTTGTTGGCATCCACTAAATTTTTAAACACACGTTTTATTTCCCTTTAGGGTGCGCAGTAATCAATACAATAGACCATTAACTAGTGTACAAGAGCAACAGTAGGTCAAAAGCTCAGTGTAGTTTATGACCTCGCTAAACAAGGTTAATGACGTTACATTCAGTTGAGCTTTAGAAAAATACCAACATGCTAAATTTCAAGTTTTTCTCTGTTTTAGAAATTTTATCACTGCATGGCCGGACTCCTCTCCCCACCGTATGGCGTGATGGACAGCAGTTGTGGTTCTGACCGTAAGTAACCCAGAGCTGTAGGAAATATAGTTGCAGGTTTATTCCAACAGCAAGACAATCACAATGAATGTTTCAGTGCAACATCATTTTGTGTTTTAGTTGTGAATTTCCTGTTTCACTTGACATCAGTAAAGCTACCTTGACGCAATAAACTGGTGGTGGTACCAGATCAGCTCGGGGTCCTGGGCCTAAAAATGTCACACTAAGATTGGCTGAATGTAAGACTTACGGAAGTTACGGTACCACGTTCGTAAAAGTTACGTTAACACGTTGATGCTGAAGATTTTGATTGGTCCAGACAAATTCATGGTTGTAGTCCTGTAGTCCCAAAAAAAAACTTTTTTGGGGGAAAATGTGTTTATATTGCCAAAGGAAATGTAAAATAAAAGCAAAAATATAAACAAAGACCCCCAGCAGCTCTGATTTTGATTAAATGGGGGAAAATAAAAATAAAATAACTTTATTGAACAAATATCAAGCAACATTTTGAATGAATGAATGGATTTTTTACACAAGAACTAATGGAAAATACAGAATAATTCCACATTAATACAAATGGAAAGGGCTGCTAAATGTGAAAACAAAACAAAAAAATTAAATTCTTTACATTCACATTCTTTAAAAAAGGACGACAATATGGTGTTTTATTTACAAATAAGTTATAAAGAAAATATTTAGATGTTAAGAAACAAGAATTTATTACCAAAACCCTCTTTCCCAAAACTTCTGTGTGAAAGAATATTGAAAAAGAGAGGCAATGCATTTCAGACAAGTGGGTTTAACGTAGGGTGACGTCATTGATCCGGTACACCTGAGCATAAAAATCCATCAAGAGGAAAGCTAATCATAAAACAGCTGCAGAATGTAAACAGATAACTTAGGGAAACCGTGTCTGAAGCTTAAACCACATCAGGGTGTGTTGCACTGAGTTAGCTGGCAGGATCTGAGTTTATTATAAAGGCCACTAAATGACATTTAACTCAGAGACTGTTGTGATATTTGACAGTAAAATATCTCAGCCTAGACACTCCCACATGTTGACATCAGCCAGTGCGTTTGGTTAATTAGACTTTTAGAAATACAGATAAGAAAATGAATAATGCACTATAAATGTATTATAATCAAGATCACATATAATTTATGCTTTCTTTGTCAGTTCACTCAATATTGACTTTGTTTTGCTCTGGCAGAGAAATGACGTCGTTTGATTTAAAGCCAAGAATCATAAAAAAGATGAACAACAGTGAGAAAATCCAGAATCAGTTCATTTTGTTAGCTTTATTTGTGCAGATTTTTAAAGTTTCCTTCTTTTAAACCCAAATATAAACTTTAAACTTGGTTTAATCAAGTCCCTGCTACCACTTTTGTCATGCCTTTGATTACAATAGAAGGTGAGCTTTATTTTATTTTTGTTGAAGAAACAATTTAGTCATTCTCTCTTCTATTTGTATCAGTGGGTTTGTGAATGTAGCGGTTGAATAAATTAAACATGTTTCTAACAGTTCTGCTGGTTTTAAGAGCTGCCTGACTTTTAAAAGGCTTCATTTGGGGCAGCAGTAGCTCAGGTGGGAGAGCGGGTTGCCTCATGATCGGAGGGTCGTGGGTTCGATTCCAGCTCCCGCCAGGGGTATCCTGCTGTTGTGTCCTTGGGCAAGACACTTCACCCAACTTGCCTGTGTTAGTGGTGGTCAGAGGGGCCGACGGCACCAAATGGAAGCCTCGCCTCTGTCAGACCTCCCCAGAGCGGCTGTGGCTACAAGTAGCTTACCACACTAGCAGTGTGTGAATGTGAGAGTGTGTGAAAGCATCTTTGGGTATCTTGAAAAGCGCTATATAAGTTCAATGCATTATTATTATTTGTTCAAGTCAGGCATCCAGATCAGCCTTTAGTATTTCTTCCAGTAAAACTCAGACCGATGTAAACAACAAAATGTGATTTTTGATAAAACTCTCATTGGGCTGATATCATACTTTAATTTATGTATCCCCTTAAAATGTCTCATGAACGAAATGATTAACAGCTGAAGACACTTACAATGTTTTATAAATTGTACATAAAAAGATATACTCAATATACCGATTAATTTTTTAGACTAAATAAATCATTTTACGGTGCACTGTAACACATTTGTAAGTCTTATGTTTATTTCCAACGATATTACTGTTTTCTTACAGACCACCTTTTGCATCATTCTGACTCATTCACACTTAGCAATTCTCTTCACATTTACCTTGCTTTAATCTATGCGCTATGTTTTTACAAGGAATGCCAGGAAAAGAGAATTTATCCAACAGCCTGTTTGTTTCAGTCTCCAAACATCCAAATAAGGTAATTGTTCCGCAGTAAATGACAGAAAGATGATTTAACAATGAGACAATGCCTGCTTTTTTGACAGTTTTTATTATTGTACCCCAGGCATGAGAGGTTTGTTTAAATGTAGCCTTAATATGTGATAGTTTTTGTCTGCATCCATAACAGTTCCTGTCCCACCTTTATTCCGCCATCATTTCCTGCTTGACAACGCAACACCGCAGCAGACTGATTGTGTTCTACTCCAACTTGGAGATTAGTCATAACACTGTTGTTGTTCTATATAAAAATATGTTATTGTACATAAAAATTCATAAATTAAACTTATATTAACCTAAGATGAATGCTCTCAGAATCAATGCTGCTGTTGCAATCAAGTGAACCTATGCCCTAAATAAATGATGATGCTTTAAAACCCTCACATAAATGCAAGGGTTGCACTCCTTTCTGAGGTGTGTAGAGTGGATTTTAAATGTTAAAGTCCTGCAGCTTGTCTAGCAGCTTAGCAGGAGGGATAAACAATGAAACAGGAAAAAGAGATGTTAAGTGTTAGTATAACTAAAACTTCAGTCAAAGATTTTGAAATGAATCACTTAAGGTAGATATTTTTTATTAAATGTTTTATTGCTCTTCTTTCTTCCAAAGTCCTTCACTGAAAGTCCATCCAAACTCCGGCCTAAATGTTCCTCTCAGGTAGGAAACACGACCCACTTCTGTGCTCAGCTAGTCACACGTTGCTTTTTTGACCATTAACGTTTTTATGTTCAGGTTTTTTCTGAAAGGATCCTCCATGCTGGGAAAATTCTCCGCAACACCATCCTCTCTGCGGCACCTCACATGATCCGAGACAGGAAATACCACCTGAAGACTTACAGGTTAGCTGTTGACTTGCTGTGTTGTGGTGTTCCTCAGGGTACTGTTTTAGGGACACTGCTGTTTTTTTGGTTTTATATACATGCTTCTTCTCCAACAAATTGTGTTTCTTCATATGACTGATATGCAGATAATATAAATTTATACATCTCTGATATCCCTAAGCTGAATCTCTTAATAAAATGTATCGATAATGTGAAAAGCTGGATGGCACAAAATATCCTCAGACTGAATAAAGACACCCATAAGACAGGTGAAACTCAAATAATTACAACAACGTGCAAAAGTTCATTTATTTCAGCAAAAACAAAAAGGGGCCCAAACATGCATGATTATACTTTTTCAAATGTATGACATTTTCTTTTTAAAGGGGTGGTTCACTCGTTTAATCAATACATTTGCAGTGGCCCAGTAGGAAAGAAAGGCTTGCAAGTCATACTGTGGGGAACAAAGCTCCAGTACGCCAGCGTGACTCTTCCATGACTCTGTAACATTGATATTTTATCTGTGGGCAGCAGTAGCTCAAGAGGTTGAGCGGGTTATCCAGTAATCAGAAGGTTGCAGGTTTGATCCCCGCTCTGGACAGAGAATTCTGCTATTGCGCTATTGTGTCCTTGGGCAAGACACTTAACCCACCTTGCCTGCTGGTGGTGGTCGGAGGGACCGTTGGCGCCTGTGCTCAGCAGCCTCGCCTCTGTCAGTGCGCCCCAGGGCAGCTGTGGCTACATCGTAGCTCATCACCACCAGTGTGTGAATGTGTGTGTGAATGGATGAATGATACACTGTAGTGTAAAGCGCTTTGGAGTCCACACTCTGAAAGGCCATTTATCATTTATCTGCACAAATAATACGAGCCTGAAAGAGCCCTGCTGTGTGGTGGAGTTGCTAATGCTGATGGTTAGTTTCTACTAGCCGAGACTTTCTCCGCGGTTTCCTGGATGCTTAACTAACAACAGCCTTTCCCGTAGTGAAGATGGGTGAGTCTATTTAGTAACAGTGTGACGTAGATCTGACAGGCTTTTCAAATCCTAGATTTTCACAATCTATTTCAGAAGCTAATGCAGGTGATAGGTGTAGGAGACTATTTTCTTGTTCAGCCTGCATGAAAGTCTCAGAGTGACCGATTATATCCAGAAATAATAATTTAAAATGGCTTTTCAGTGAACCACACTTTTAAAACCTTTGTTTTATTGATTTCATGTAAAATTCCGAGATTTTGAATCTGGGGTTTTCATAAGCTGTCAGTCATAATCATCTATCTCATATATTAGTTTGACGTTTTACGTTGAATGCCTAAAATAAATATACTAATATTTGGAGTTCCACCTGTATGTGTGCTAGACAAACACAAATCTGCAGTCATGGAGGCGTTGGGGTTTTTTGGCCTCGTATACTCAGCCTGTCTTGAAGTTAGCTTCAATGCTGGATTCACTCTAGATGATCCTGTAGTACACTCCTGCTCTTTCAGCTAAGAAACACTGCAGAACTGTGTAAACTGTGTATGGTTCAAGTTTTAATCACTTTACAACCTGATTGTTGCAATTTAGTGTTTTGTTGTCTGAATTCAAAGCTTACTAAATCATACAGGTTCAAGCAGGTTCTTCTTGTGAAGAAATAATGACATGCAGATTTGACTCAGAAATACAAGAAGCAAAACAAACCTGAAGCACGTTCTAAAACGATGACATAACTGCGTTTCCCTCCCAGGCAGTGCTGTGTGGGGACAGAGTTGGTTGACTGGCAGATGCAGCAGAACTCCTGCGTCCACTCTCGTGTTCAGGCCGTGGGCATGTGGCAGGTGCTGCTGGAGGAAGGAGTTCTCAACCACGGCGAGTCTTTGCTCAGTCTGCCTCGACGTGTTCATATGAGATAAAACGATTATGTGAATTCTGCTGATTGTGTTGTGCTACTGTAACACAGTGGACAGAGAAACGAGCTTCCAGGATAAGTACATTTTCTATCGCTTCCTGGACGATGAGCGGGAAGATGCTCCTGTTCCGAGTGAGGAGGAGAGGATGGAGAGCCACGAGGAGCTGCAGGACACTCTGCTGTTCCTCTCACAGATTGGACCTGATGCACTAATGAGGATGATTCTGAGGAAACCGTACGACTCTGACATTTAAATGAATAAATCGTTGTGTTCAGATGTTTATTGGCACTTCTCCTGTCTTTTAGTCATTCTGAAAGAACAGCAGAAGAGTTGGAGATCATTTATGAAGAACTCCTTCATATAAAAGCCTTATCTCACCTGTCCACCACTGTGAGTTCGTTGTTGTTGCTCTTCCTGATTTTAGAAACAATTTGAATATTTATCCTGCTGGTAAAATTGATGCATTTTTCTGAGAGCTGCAGCTTTTTCTCCCATTCAGCTGCAGTAAAATCCTTGATGCAAATGTTTGGATTGTGTGTTTAAACTGATCTTCAGTAATAAATCTGTCTCACCTGATTACACAGGTAAAGAGAGAACTGGCTGGAGTTCTTATCTTTGAGTCCCATGGAAAAGCAGGAACAGTTTGTGAGTTAGATAATAAAATGAGTTAGATCATGAAGAAAATCAGCCTAATAATCCCAGATTAGGTTTTTACAAAGTGGTGAAGCTTCCCTGTGTGTTTTTCCCCTCAAGTGTTCAATCAGGGGGAGGAGGGCACATCCTGGTACATTATTTTGAAGGGATCAGTGAATGTTTTCATCTATGGAAAAGTAAGGATTTCTTCACACACACAATTCCTGAAAGCACCAATCTTTCTAGTTTCTGATTGGAGTTTTTATTGATTCAGCTGTGATTTTTCAATCTGCACAGGGTGTGGTTTGCACCCTCCATGAAGGAGATGATTTTGGGAAGCTGGCGCTTGTCAATGATGCCCCTCGTGCTGCCTCCATCATCCTGAGAGAGGACAACTGTCATTTCCTGAGAGTGGACAAAGAGGACTTCAACAGGATTTTGAGAGTGAGTGTTGAAATGCAGCACTATCCCCCTCTGCTGGGAATTATCCAGAGTTGCAGCCAAAAATCCTCCATCAGAAGGCTAATAATTTGCTGATAATGGCCCTAATGTTGGAGTCAATTAGCTGTAGATGTGAACTTGCTGTGTGGAAAACTTCCATCTGCGAGCTTTGATGGCTTGAAAACCTTGTTGCTCAGAATAAATAAACCAAGAGAAGATTTTCAGGATTGAATATTCAGCGATGATCCAGCAGGTTCGTGCAGACATGGCATATGTGACTGGCAGTCCAGTAAGTGGATGATGCCAACTAATAAAACTGGAAAGATTTTTAGAAGACAAGTGTGAACTGTTTCATTTTATTTCAGATTTCCACTTAAATAGAAATTAACTGTGTAGGAACTGTAGATTTATTTTTAAGTTTCGTTCAGTCATTAGTTGGCATGAAGATCTATGGTTCTGACAAAGTGTGTGTGTGTGTGTGTGTGTGTGTGTGTGTGTGTGTGTGTGTGTGTGTGTGTGTAATGTAGGATGTGGAAGCCAACACTGTACGTCTGAAGGAGCATGATCAAGACGTTCTGGTGTTGGAGAAAAGTCTGAACAGTGGACGAAACTCCATCCATGGCTCATCTGCATCCCATTACAAGTAACCCACAATCAATCACTCGATCAATCAGTCTTGTCGGTCAGTCAGTTTGACATTTGGAAAACGTATTTTCCGCCACAAGAGAAGAGCTCCACATTTGAAGCTTGTTTGAGTGCAGATTATTCGTGCATAACCTGGAGTGAGAGTTTTTTCATCCTCTTCATCACTGCAGAGACTCCTGTTTTCCATTTTCAGATATAAAAAACAATCATGGTGATGAAAACATTGAAACAGATGATTACATTTTTCAGCATAGGTGTTTCTAGCTTGCTTTGGGGGATGCTGAAGCCCACTAATGGGCCATTCCCATCTGTACCGGGTCGGCCCGGGCCGGGTAGCGTAGGTTGTTTACATATCTGGGTGGCCTGGTATTTTTCCGGGCCAACCAAGGCTCATTCTCAGCCCTCTTCTCGAGGGGGTCTGCTTCAGGCCGACCAGGGCCAACACACGCACTGCTGAAAGCAAATTCACACCTTCCATTAGAGCAAGCCTCTGATTGGTGGGTAGCATCAGCCCACATGGGCTTAAGACAAGGATGTGTGGAATCAACCGGGCCAGGCTGGGGCCGACTGGGGCCGACTGGGGCTACCCGGCCTGGGCCGACCCGGTACAGATGGGAATGGTCCACTAGATTTAATCTCAGAACACTTAAAGTTTGGTATTTATTTATTTATTTATTTTTTTACTGTTTGTGGTCATTTTAAGTAACCAGTACCCAACCAGGATTGCAGTTCGTTTTTATTGTTGATTCTTCGTCTGAATAAATATTTATAAGACATTTTTTTTTCAATTGCTGCCTTGAAAGAATGGGGAAGTTGCGCCCTCGGCTGGCAAAAAATAGAACAACACTCTTGTTTCCAACAGCATTTACAGGAGAAGGAAAAATGGAGAATTGCTGCCCTCCAGTGACAGAAAGCTGGTACTACACTTTAGGTCATTTTAGCCATTCAGAAGAGAATATTTAGTCTCCTCATCTTAACTAAGTTTTAGAAAATCTTGACATCTTTAGACTTGGACCAGCTTATTTTACACTGATAGCAGAATCTGTTAAACACAGACTATGATGTGAAAACAGTGCCTTTTTCACAAATGTGGGAATTAAATTTTGTTAAAATGTACAAAATGTTGAAACAAATCTTGCCTGGCCGGGCAGCTCTCTGGGTGCTCAGCCCCCCTAAACTGCTGATGCTAGAATTGCCCCTGTGACTCAGCCTAAAAACAGCTCTTTTGGCTTCCACTGCATTCTAGTAAGTGTGAACTGTGCGTGCATCACCATCTCAGCAGATCTGCTCAGCAGCCGTCGAGTGCAATCGTATTAGAGGCATCTGTTGCTGCCCACCAGAGGCTGTAATACAGAGAGACACATTAATGGTAATGACGGCCTATAGCCCCTAGGAGGGAAAGAAGGTTTGGCAAGTCACATTCAGGGTCGCCATTTAATCAGACTCACTCTTCACACACGATGGTGTCAAGCCTGCCCCAAGAGAAGCAAAGACACGTCCTTGCTTTTGCCGTTCCCTTTCCTCTTGTCACACTGTTATCAAGTAATAAAAACAACTGAGGCTGAACTGTGCTTATTCTCCTTCACATGGAAGATGCTCCAACATTTCTTTCTTCATTTTTTTTATTGGCTCCTGCCTCCTCTCTCAGTCTCCTCTTCATCTTCAGCTTCCCGAAAACACTGATTGTGTATAAGATTGTTATCAAACGAGGCAATCACAGACGCACGCTGAAGTAACTCAAATCAGCCGAGGGGCCGCGGCCGTGTCATTAAGAGCTGGTATTTCTTGATTAGTGAAGGATGTGCTTGGCTCCTTGTTGCTTCAGATACAACATAATGTCGGGAACGCCGGAGAAGATCTTGGAGCACCTTCTGGAAATGATGCGATTGGATTCCCAGCTGACAGAGTCAGGTACCGAGTAGCTTCGCCTCACCAACAAGTGCCATTTGTTAAAATAGAAAAATCAGTTTCTTTCCCTGTGTGGTCTGTTCTCATCCACAATAAGCTGCACATCACAGAGCTGATCTAATTACCATTGTGTGTGTGGGAACATGTTTTTTCCAATTGCATGCAGGGATGACAGACATGGCTATGTTTGAAGTCTCTTACCGGGTATTCTCTGTTTCCCATCACAGACTCAGCCTTAGATGATTTTGTGCTCATGCACTGTGTCTTCATACCCAACAGTCAGCTGTGTCCCGTGCTGAGATCTCAGTATCCTTTTTATTTTTCTGCGTTAATGTGATTTAATGATAAAACAAAAAAAAAGTTGATTTTTGCTGTTAGATCTTTAATAGTGGTGCAGCTACCAGGCCCAGGCCTTGCAGGGCTCCGAGCAGGAGAAGCTGGACTACACACTGAACAGCAAGCGCAGGGTGATCCGTCTGGTGATGAAATGGGCCGCTGTGCACGGAGAACACCTGCAGCAAGAGAACACAGCCTTTCTGGAGGTGTGTGTCTAGGCCCTGCTGCTAACATAAAATAGTCACAATATCACAAAGACCACATCAAAGATGTGTTTTAAATGTAAAATAATACAATTCAGATATCACACCTTTGGATTTTTTTTGTGTGTGCATTTTTTATTTTAGCTGCAGTCTCAGGAAGTAAAAATCTGAACCTTTATTTAATTCAAAGCTTGTTTTACTATGAAGGAGTTCCTCAGGGCGGTATCTGATGACGCCAAAGTGCTTCCAGCCCTCAGGGATCAGCTCACAGAGTTGGAGAGGATTGTAAAGAACAAGTAAGTTGTCATAAATGAAACAGAGAGGAGGAGCTTTGACCTCCTTGTGATCAGGATCATTGAGAATGGTGAAATTTACTCAAACAGATTTTTTTCTATAGTGCAGAAGATTTTAAAGCCTCACAGAAAAAGGTAGAAAACTTGGTCAGATAAAAATTTTGCTCAGATATTTGTGTTTTTGGTAAAGATGAACACCATTTATGTCACAGCGCAAAATCCTTCTACAGCAGTTCAGTACGGGGGACGAGAAACTTCAGAAACGCCAACCAATCAAGGGTAATGATGAAAGTAAGTGAGTAAGGATGCAAAGTTCAGTAAAGCTGTGGTCCATAGTATGATGTCATCAAGAAGAAGAGGAAGAGATTTTGACATCTAAACAGTTATAGCTCCCACACTGGCTTCCCATCCCTTCTGGAAGAAGCTGAAAGCCCTGCCTCATACCGCGCACCTGCACACAAATAGCCTTGTAGCGCTAATGACAGAATAATAATAAAACAGTTAATGTTTTTGATAGGTTCCTGCTCAGACACACCTCAATCTAACTGCTGAATTATCTCCTCGGCATTCATCAGGTTCTGCAGGAGCTGCTAATCACTTGATTTAAACAAATCTGCAGAGTTCAAGCAGGGAAACATCTAAAACCAGCACTCGCGATGCTAGCACAACCCTGCTACAACTGGCTAAAACAATAGTCCGATGTATCATAAGGTTGAACGTTACACTATTCACTTAGGTCCAATACACAAAATAAATCGTTGTTCCACTCCCTCCTCTTCCAAAGTTAGCTTGAAGACATGAATGCAGGTCAAGTTAGCAATCAAGCTAGGTTGGTGTGCTAATCTGACAGTAGAGCCTAATTTATGCTTCATGCGTCTGCATCGGACACGCAACACCAATATTTGTCATTGCAAGGGCTCTCCAACAGGCTCACAAGGACGGACTGAGTCTAGTTCACTTTTCTAAACATTTGTTGAACGAGACGGAGAACTCAAGCTCTAACGGTGAGGTGGCGAGCGCATGAAGAGCTGTAGGAGACCGAGGGACAAATTTGCCCGTGTAAAAAAGTCTCTGAAATACAAAAAAATAAAATAAAAATAAAAACACAATATAAACACAACAGTAAATGCACTATTTTGGACCAAATACAGAACAAGATACCCCAGAACAGCTCTACGCTCTCTGTTGTCCTGGCAGGGAATTGCTTTGCGACACTCCCCAGGAGAAGTCTGAGGGGAAAACGTCTCCGTTAATGCGTACACGTGTCTCCCTCATGGAGCTGACGGAGAAGCATCAGTGTCACCCTACAGTGCATGCTGGGAACTGGGACACATTCTCATTGTTTGACAGCTCCCTTTTGTAGATACAAAATTTAAATGGTTTGTTTGCTCTGGAGGCCAGGGGAGGGACTTGGGAGAAATAAAAATGATGAAAGATGAAAGATCTTTATATCATAGAACAGGGTCAGATTGTAAAATATTAACACTTGCAGTCACTTTAAAAAGTCTGAACTATGTGCCCCAGCTTTAACTGACCACTCTAATGCTGTTTATGTACAGCTCAACCTGTGTTGTTCAATCTCATATTTATTCTGATACATGCCTCCAGTTCTGTTCAAAGTCTACTGCTGTGACCACACCTACACCACCATCCGGGTTCCTGTAGCCGCGTCGGTCAGGGAGGTCATCAGTGCTGTGGCTGACAAGCTGGGGTCAGCGGAGGACCTGATCCTGGTCGGCCTCAGCTCAGCAGGAGGTGAGAGCAGCAGCATGAGAATCAAACGGCTGCAGGAGGCAAATACAGAGAGGGCACATGCATGCTGGTTTAACTTTTCATCCTGGAAACAGGTGACATTTCTATTCAGCAGGTGCAAGATATCAACCTCAAAACCACATTTGAGTTAAGAATTGACAATGAAAGGTTTTTTATGAAGTTTGTTAAAAGAAAACTCAAACATCTCACACATTTTTTGACAGAGAAAACAATCTTTAAACCAAACGATGTTTCAGTCTTCTCAACACTCGGCATAAATGGACGACTTTTCACCTGCCAGACGGACCAGCTGGATTTGTTGGTGCGTCAAAATACAACAAAGATACAAAACAACTGAAATCTCTTCAATTTTAGAGGATTAAATCAGTTTTTTGTGCTTTTTAGACTCCTCTGCCAGAACAAGAGGGCCCCATCTCAGGATCGCTGGCTAGTTTTGAGTTGATGAGTTCCAAAGATGTCGCTTACCACATGACCTCCTATGACTGGGAGCTTTTCCACTGTGTACATGAGGTACTGACAACTTAACAAATCTTACCGCTGAACACAAACTAACAACATATATCAAAAGATCTGTTTTTTTCTTCTTCAATAACTCACAGCTTGAGCTCATCTATCACACATTTGGAAGGCAGTATGTAAAGAAAACCACCGTGAACCTGGATCTGTTCTTGAGGAGGTTCAATGAAATCCAGTTTTGGGTGATCACAGAGGTTTGTCTGTGCTCCCAACTGAACAAGAGAGTGCAGCTTCTCAAAAAGTTCATCAAGATTGCAGCTCAGTATGTTGGTCTTTGTTTCTTGATAAATATAATCAGTTTTTTTTTGTTGCTATAACCCAGTTTACGTTTTCATGCATTGATTTCTTTTAAAGGTGTAAGGAGTACAAGAATTTAAATGCCTTCTTTGCCATCATTATGGGACTGAGTAACCCAGCAGTGAGCAGACTGAGTCAGACCTGGGAGGTGGGAAATGGGAAACACTCTGTTGGTTTATGGTCAGTCTTTACTACAATGAACCATTTTTTTTCTGTTGTTTTGTTTGCAGAAACTTCCCAGCAAGTACAAGAAGTTTTATGGAGAATTTGAAAACTTAATGGTATGCTACACAATTTTTTTTAAACATTTTTGTGCACTAAATTCACAAAAACACTGCACATCTATTGAGGGCACCACCTAAAGCTGTTGCCCGTAGCGTGGCATTATCAAGGAGATTATGACATTTGAATGTCTATAGCTCCTGTCCATGCTCCCCCTCCTCTTCTGGAGGCAGCTGGAAGCCACGCCGCGCACACACACAGAAAAAGTGGAGAATTAGAATTATTAGCTTCAATACATAAAACATGAATCCCTTTTCTTCGCCCTTCTTTCTCTTAGATAGCTTGAACTTTACAGACTAACACTGGTGTGTCCAAATTCTGGGACTGTGTCCTTCAAGAATGCGGTCTACCTGGCCGAAGTAGATCCGGTTCTTCATTGACCAGCTAGACTGGAAGCAAGCGGCTGTGAATTTGGATGATTTCGTCTTCAGATTTAGTCCTGCTCCTAAGGGCTGGACCACATTTGAAGGAGTCTTAAAATTTGGACAGCCTTCATCGCAGCGCTTTGGCGTAATCGCCTATAAATAAGGCCGATGAAGGATGCTACCCCTGAAATTGGACACACTCATTAATTCAACGCAGGACGAGTTAGCATTCAAGGTAGTGCCATATTAGCCTACGGTAAACACAACATACAGTGATTAGCTACAGTCTTATTTATTTTATTTAAATAAAGTTTCAGTTACAATTCCCTAAAATACAATAATTAGTAATCAGGTGCGTTAGCAAAAATGGGGCGGGTGTGTCATCCATCCATCCATCCATCCATCATCTATACCCGCTTATCCACACAGGGTCATGGGGGGATGGTGCCTATATCCAGCAATCTCTGGGCAAGTAGGAGGGGAACACCCCGGACAAGTTGCCATTCCATCACACGGCAACGCAGAGACACACAGGGTTGTGTGTCTCTGCTAACAACCAAGCACACACACACACACACACACACACACACACACACACACACACACACACACACACACACACACACACACACACACACACACACACACACACACACACACACACACACACACACGGACAATTTAGAGAGGCCAGTCAACCTGATAGTCGTGCTTTTGGACTGTGGGAGGAAGCCGGAGCAGCCGGAGAGAACCCACACATGCACAGGGAGAACACGCAAACTCCATGCAGAAAGACCCCAGGTTGGGAATTGAACCCAGGACCTTCTTGCTGTAAGGCAACAGCCCTAGTCACTGTGCAGCCCCAACAATGGGGCAGGTGTGTCAGAAAAAGGCAAATTTATTCTCTCATTCTGTGATGCATGCCAGACATTTTTCACACATGAACTTAGAAAAATTGAGTGGCATTGCATCGTTGTTTTTCACATCATCAAACCTGTGTGATTGTTTCCACAGGACCCAACCAGGAACCATCGCGCTTATCGACTCACAGTCTCCAAACTGGAACCTCCTATCATTCCATTCATGCCCCTGATGATTAAAGGTCAGATTTGTTCACCTAAAGCATTTTCCCCTGTTGCACTTCTTCAGCTTCTCTCTGATGTTTTGTTTATACCTTCCAGACATGACATTCACACACGAGGGCAACAAAACACTTATCGACAGTTTGGTCAATTTCGAGAAAATGGTGAGGCCCTGCTCATCATTGTCTACCATTTGGCGTGAATCCTTTTCTTCTTGTTTACGTTTCTGTGATTTCATGCGTTTGTTGCAGCGGATGATAGCAAAGACGGTGAAGATCGTGAGATACTGCAGGAGTCTAACATTCAGTAAGATGAAGAAAATGTCTTTCTGCTTGAATGTTGGGGAATAAAAGTAATTACAGTTAACTCCAACTTGGGCTCGTCTTTTTACTTTAAATAGGTCCCGATTCTCCTCTGGCTGGGAAGCACCACCTGGACGTGTTGGCTTACGTCCGTCAACTTCACATCATCGACAACCAAAGGACGCTAACGCAGCTCTCTCACAGCCTCGAGCCCCGCAGGTCTTGAATCCACTCAGGGCCTGATTTTATTATTTTTTTACCTTCTGATGCTGCTTCTCAACATGACGCATGCTCACGCTGATCTGAGTTTAATCCAAACACAGGCAATCACATGGAGGACCTAATGAGACATCAGATAATGAGATATTGTTTCATTGACTTGTTAAGCCTTTTATTACAGTAATCTGTGATTTTTCAACAACAGTAATTGTTGTGAGATGAAGTACCTCTCACATCGGTGTCATGCAGATATCATATCATCTCCGACTCAAACAGAAGAAAATAAAGCTCTCTGGGTGGTAGGGTTTTCATTTATTAGAGTATTCTTGTAAAATGTAAAAAAATGAAACACTAGGATGCTTTAAAAATGTTAAATATTCATGATGTTCGTTCGTTTTGTATCTTTTTGTATCAAACAATATTTAAACTAATTTATATTAGTAATAAACTTGTACATTTTGTACAGATATTTATCCTGACTTTAGCATGAAGATGATGCAATTTAAGGAGAAATATTTTTAAATTCCTGAGATATTGTAAGCCAGTTAGAAATATTTAGCAGGCATTTGTGTACAATGACACTATTGTTGTATTCTGTTGTGTCATTCTGTCAATATGATGTTTTAGCTCATAGCATGCCAGCTTTTGGACATCTTTATTTGTTAGTAAACAGTTTGAGTGAAATATGTCCTTTTATGGGAACTGGGACAATGAGCATTAAACTGGAACTTTCTAAAAAATCTCAGACTTGTTTCTTCACATGTGTGTAACTAGTTTTATCTGAGTTATTTATTTACCTTTATCTTTAAGAATGGTTTATTATGAGGTTCTCTCGACGTTATTATGGCATGGGTACTTTAAGTGCAAGCACATGTTCTGACTGGTGGAAGGTGTGCTAACTCTGTGGTTTGCCCGGGGTTGCCCCATCATGTGGGTCGTTGGGTTCTTGTCACGTGGTTTATAATAGCCCGGTTATTACAGTTTTGGCTCTCATTACTTGTTGCATGGTGTGTCACGTGACTCACCCCGATTTATATGGAATAGAAGATTAAACTAGAGAGGTAGTCGAAATTTAAGGCTACGTTTCTCTTAAGAGAATCCCTAAATTTTATTTGGGATTAAACTAACTAAATCCCAAATGGGAAAGTCTGGGCGAGCGTGCATGTGAATGCAGTTAGTGACTAGTCAGTCAGTTGCTGTTGTTGCGTCATTGGGCAAGGCACTTAACCCACATTGGCTGCTGGAGGCAGCATTTGATCAGATCTTCCAGCAGGGGGAGCTGTTGTCATCAATTTAGCTCGCAGAGAAATGGGGGCAGTGCAGTTTTTTTTTTTTTTTTTTGCCTCCTCTGCTCCGAGTTGTGCAACTAGTTTAACCAGAACCGGAGATAGTATCAGGAATCAGAAATGAAAGCTCGTCACATGTGACTTTCCGGAACTCTGCTCCCCTTCTGTTTGAAGTTGGTGTCGAACCAGGGTCCGCCGGTTCCGAAGACCTGGAAACTTCTGAATGTCGGTACGTATGTTCTTCAGAAAGAGGACAGCGTGAAAGTGTAAGGGTGGAAATTTAAAGGCATTTTGTGGATTAGGATTATTAGATATGAGTGTGTGGATTATAATCTACAGGACACGTGAAACATATCAGCACCAAAACAGATTTATTGCTGATTCTGAATGTAATTTTATTTCCTCACTGCTGGGCTTTTAGTGATTAACTACTCATTTAGGTCTGATTACAGTAACTACCATGAGCTTTGACACATGGTTGCCAGGTGGGATTACGTTTCCTGCAGCAGTGTTTAATATTAGATGAGAATCAGGCACCTGAGGAGTGCTCCCACATCCCAGTAACACTGGTTTCTTGACTGGTCACACACAATACTGGAGGGGCTGGGCCAATGAGAAAATAGCTTTTGAAGCTAAGTATAGCAGACAGAAGAAAATCAGCAGTAAAAAAGTGGCTCCCCTCTGTGACAATGGAGACATTTCCCACTGTGATGGATAGTAATCCCAATGAAGACGAGGTATAACAGGCTTTTAAAAGCTGTAATTGCTCAGCTGTAAATGGCAAGCCCAGGAACAATAACAGAGCTGCAATTAGCCTCAAATGATGGAATTATTATTATTGTTATTTTTGTATATAAGATGCTTTTATGCTGTTAGAGACCAACAAGATATGTGAAAATCAATCTGACAGCTCCCATCATGAAATGATTGGCCTCAACGTGAGCAGAAAAGCAGAAAAAATAAGGAGAAAACAAGATTTGTGTATTTTTTATATTCAAACATAAATTTTATTTTATTTTCCTGTGTGAGGCCTTAGAGCCAATGAAGTGTTGAATTTACTTAAGTTATGTCAGCTGATTCCCCTTAACCAGTATCAAATGTAAAGGGTAAAATACATTGTTATGTGACGTTAAATTAAAGTAAATGTATATTTTTCTTTGCATTGAAAGAGTAGGTTCAGTGAGAAGACATGTTTTTGAAATATTATTGTTCATCCTAAGTTTAACATGCTTAACCTGCTTACCTGTCGGCGTTAATACAAAGACACGTCCCTTCACGCTCATGCGAGGGTGATGTGTTGGTGGTTCCCCGTGCTACGTATAGATCACGAGGAGGTTGTGCGGTTGCTGTTTTGTCACCTACACTCTGGAGTGAACTGCATTTGAATATTAGACAGGTGCCATCATTGCAGTTTTGTAAGTCATACTTGAAGACGCACTACTGTGTACAAGCCTTTCCAGCACTGGGATCTGTAACATTGCACTAATTTCTTTGAGGACCTTTTTGTGGTTTTTATTTTTTGTATTTTTTTTACAGTTTTTATTGTCTTTTTTATTGACTTTATTGTATGTTCTTATTGGATGCTCTTTTTTTTTCAAATGTTTGTGTTCAGCATCTTGGGCTTCTGCTCAGGTAGTGGAAGGTGCTTAAATAAATGTAATAAATGAAAATGACACAAAACATGCAGGTTTATCGTGATAGTAATCTTCTACCCCTATTTCCTGCAATATCCGCTGAAAGAAAATAGACGTGAAAGCAATCGAGTCAGAAAAAGCCACACAGATGTACGTTACACTGTAAATTGGCATTTATGGACTCACCCACCTTGGATCATAACGGGGAAAGCTGTTGTTTATTTAGCATCCAGGAGAGAGCAGAGCATATCTTGGCTAGTCAACGCTAGCTGTTAGCATTAGCATCTCTACCACACGGCATGACTCCTCCAGGCTTGTGTTATTTGTGGGGATAAAACATCAACGTTGCAGAGCAAACAGTGTCAGTGGTAGAGTCGCATTGCTGTTAGCCAATCAGAGGCGAGATGTCTGAATATCAGGAAATAAGATACCAAATCCTGTCGTGTTCGGCTCAACTCTGATCTGGCTCATTTCTAGGTGGCAGATAGTTGTTAGTTAGTGGCAGAGGAGTTAAAGTAGCTTTCCAGAGTTTTCTCCTTTCAGAAATTATGTATGATTGATCAGAAATCTGTAAAAGTGATTATCTTATCATGTACTGTGAAATAATGTAAGCAATACTTCTTTTTTTTGGCCTAAGCACGCCCCCTGCCCCGCAGAGCTCCATGCAATAGGAAACTGAGCGCCAACCAGAACTAACCAATAGCGTTAGACTACCGCTTCAATGCTTCAAATTTAAGGAATACCTCGGCTGATGCAGAGTCGATGAACTTTTCACGAAAAAGTAAGCCTTCAAAATATAAATATATGAAAACACAACATGACACGAGAATAATACTTGTAAAACAACGTGTTTTAGCTCTGTTTGTCGGCTACAGAAGCACATTTATAAACAAGAAACGCGAAGTCGCCATCTTAATAAAACGGATCGGCAGACTTTTTGTGTGATATACTGGTCAGCCACTAGATGGTGCCATCGGATAAGAGAAATACTCCATGAAGATACTTTTAAGTGGCAACCCCGTAATCGGAAGGTTGCAGGTGTGAGCCCCAGTCAGTCAGTTGCTGTTGTTGTGTCCTTGGGCAAGGCACTTAACCCACATTGGCTGCTGGAGGCAGATGGAGGGACTGGTGGCACCAGCGTTCAGCAGCCTCGCCTCTGTCAGTGTGTCCTAGGATAGCTGTGACCAAATTGGATCACCACCTCCAGAGTGTAAACATGTGCGTGCATGGGTGAATGACCAGTTGTATTGTACAGCACCTTGGGGGGGGGGGGGGGGGGGGGGGTTTGTAGGACCTTAGGGGACACTATGTAATAAGTACAGGCTGTTTATCATTTTTTCTTCTTCCTGCCTCAGAATCTGTGTCAAAGTTGAGCGTCATCCTTATGAGATGTCGTCTCCCCGAGCATCTTTCGTGCAGATCAGGTTCGATGACATCCTCTTCTACGAGAACTGCGGCGGCGGCAGCTTCGGGAGCGTGTACCGAGCCAGGTGGATCTCCCAGGACAAAGAGGTGGCGGTGAAAAAACTGCTCAAGATCGAAAACGAGGTGAGAGTCATCGTAATTGCCGGAGCTTTTCATATACTTGTCTTTTTTTAATTGTCAGTGTAATCATTTTAATTACCACCCCATTTAGCTGGATGTGGTGACTTCTTTTACCCATCACTCATGGTCATTATAGTCTCCCACTCCAAAAAACGTGGTGCAGAAAAAAAAAACGTTATTTCCAAAAGAAAGAAAAGTATTTGGCCCAATTACAACCAAGAGTCACAGCTCTGGAAATCACTTTGAAAGTGCAGCCTCATTGTCTTAAAGACAAAAAAAAAAAAAAATGAAATCATCTTTGAAATAATTTCAGGGAAATTATATTACATTTGTTGGACGCTTAGAAACTTATTCAATGTTTCTTTTGTGAACCTGTAAAACATCACAGATATCCATTCAACTTCACTCAGCTGTTAAGGACGTGATTGTTCAGTGAAAATTATAATCTAATCCTTTCACATTGAACCAATTGTTCCTTTAATTATAGATCAGGATAACAATTAAATGAAAGTATTACGCCAGGTTTCTGTTCATTCAAGAAACGGGGAAGTTTTTCTTGGATATAACACATATTTGCTGTATATTCATCCACGATTAAAAGTGCCATATTGAGGCTTTTCTGGAGGATTTGTGTCACACGGGTGACCACAGAGCACAGATTTGTCATTATTCCAGCTGAAAATATTCTGGAATTTGATGTCAAATGTAAAAAAAAAATTTGCCCTGCGATGGACTGGCTCTCTGTCCAGGGTGTACCCCGCCTGATTGCCCGTTGACCACTGGAGATAGGCACCAGCCCCCCCGCGACCCTACATGGACAAGCGGGTTCAGACAATGGATGGATGGATGGATTTTTAAAAATTTTAAAACAACTTCTCTCAATTAGTAAAATGTGCTTTATTTAGTTATTTATTTACTTTTAAATGAGCAAATTTTCCTGCTGATATTTTGCTTTAAAAGTGTAGAAAAAGTGTATTAAAAAGCTGCATCCCTCGTATGGAACTGTAAAAACCGTACGTGTTTGTAGAGCGTCCCCTAAATGGAATGCAGCTTTCGTCGTCCAATAGGCTGGAGGTTAAATGTTAATCTCATTTCAGATGTTCCTTCCATCTCTCTTTAATTTGGGAGCAAAATAAAAAATTTTTCTTGCCGCAAGCTAGCCGGGCAATTAAATGGCCGCCGTTTGTTTTGTTCTTGATAACAGAAATAGCTGGATGTTGAATCAGGTTAGAGCTGCTCTGTAGTTGTAACATTTATAGCCTTGCAGAAGGAAGTAAAACACAGCTATATGTGGTCCGTGCATGCTGCTGCAGCACACTGCCTGCAAAAGTTTTGATCCACCCCTCTATTTTTTTTCATTCTTTCAAGGAAAACTGGAACCCAGAAATGTTTTAATCTTTTAAAATAGTTTGGAGGAACAGCTCCTCAAATGTTCCTTTGATCGTTTCCTGCTTTATAATTCAATTTCTAAACTTTTACAACGGGACTACTCAGCGTGACTTGGGAGGGTTCGGTTTGGTCCGGCCGCGTTTCCCAACAGCACGGGGGAAACGCCCCTATTTTTCATCTACTTTTCAGTCCCTGCTACATTGTGGTTCTGAGGGCTGAGGCGGAGTTGCGACTGTCGGATGCCTATTGGCTAGGGGGTGGAGTCACTGCTTAGTCCGGATGCTGCATCACTGCTGCTGAGTCTGACAAAAGCCATAAAACTGAGCAGATTATCCAACATCACTGCCATTTTTGTGCTGAGTTGTGTTCCTGTGTAGCATACAGACCACATGACATCATTTACTGATTACTTCCGTTACTTTTGTCTAGAGAAAGCATTGTGCCCCCACTCAACTTGTTAAAAGAGGGGGACCATTTATTTATCATAGAGCTGGCAGGGAAAACCAACCACACTGAGGGGAGCTGAGTTAACCCAGACTGTACTGAGCTGTTTTAGGCTTGTTTATACTTTTCAGTTTGAAACTTGAACACACACACACACACACACACACGCACGCACGCACGCGCGCGCGTTTGGTGGAGACTTTTGCCTTTTATCCTTCTCCATTGGTGTGTCGATGTTGTGAAGCAATTCTCCGCCAGGACAGCAGAGGGCGTAGTTCTTTTCTGGGGTATGCAACCATCAATGAGGGCAGGTCTAGTGCTTTTATATTGTGTTTATTTGTTTCAGAGACTTTTTAACACAAACATATTTGTCCTCCACATCTTCATGCATTCACCACCTCTAAACTCATCTTCCCCATACTTTCCTGACACAAATAAAACGTTTTCTGCATATCTTTGTACTCCTTCAGTCATGGCTGTATAAACATTTTATGTCGTCAGACTTTTACCGTGAGATGTTCTTCAATCTCCTCCGAGTCTGTCGCTCTCATTTTTTTCCTTTTTTGAGGGGGAATGGTGGTGCTGTTGAAAAAGTTAAAGGAAGTGGCATCCTGACCTGACCAATCACAGACTTGTGGTCTCCGTCGCTTTTGTCGGATTATTAAAAGAGTGAGCTCTACTCCATCTATCCTTGCAAGCCTGTTGATCCTGCGATGACGGATAATGGCGCTGCATGTCTCCGCACCAACATAGAGTGAGAAGTATAAACTAGCCTTAAGCCGTTGTTGCAAAATAATGTCGCCAATTTGCTGCAACGCAGTGGCGGCATCAGGGAGCCCTGGGTTGTTTATAAGTAGTCAGACCGTGGTGGTAATGTGGTGCAATCTTGTCCTTTTTATAAAAGATTAGGCAATGGCGACATAAAGGGTGTCTCTGCGATGCCACAGACTTTCGTTAATCTTGGACATAACTTACTTTTTATATCGATTGAAGCCGCGCAATCGTTACGTTTTTTTAACAAGCCGCTCCACCACTCCTTCCATTGTAGAGCTTTTTTATGGGGTTGTGTTTGGCCATTTATCAGGGCTCCTGGGTCAGTTTGAGCCCCAACACTGTTTAATATGCTAAACAGAGGCTCAAACAACAGTTTCCAATTGCATAAAAACAGAACCTCTCTCATCATGGTTTATTATCCTGAAATTAACATTGATTATAACAAAAACCTTGTTGTTTTCTTTTCCTTTGTGCCACTCAGGCTGAAATCCTCAGCGTGCTCAGCCATCGTAACATCATCCAGTTTTACGGCGCTGTTGTCGAGGCTCCCAACTATGGAATTGTCACTGGTAAGTCATGAAACCAGTTCACATGTCAGTGAGCATTTAGTGAATAACTTTAGAAGTTTGTTTAAAAAGTAAAAAAGGCATTGCAAGGTTCTGAAGGAATCATTAAAAAAATGAATCCAGTCGCACAAGGGAGGCCAATTCATGTAAAAGGCACCGTTATCGAGCTTGAACAACAAAGGACCAGAAAACACAGGAAGTAAAAGGAACCGATCTTACATAGAAATATGAAAGAATAACCTGGAAATAGTCCAGAAACACACACACAGAAGCACGGCTGGTGCACAAAAGCAGAAAACTTGACTAAGTAAAAGTAAGACACATCATTCTTTTTAAATATTTATTTATTTATTTATTTATTTATTTATTTATTTATTTATTTATTTAAATGGTTTTAAATTAGGTCAAACAAAATGTCCTCTCATACGATCATACAAAAATCACTTTGACACAATTTTCTTGCTGCTAACTTTTTAGAAACTGTGTGACGTAACCATGACGATCACACAGATTTATTTTGAAGAGGGCTTCATGAGTTTGAAACGACTCCATCCTGTGTGATTCTATACACGTCACACACTATTATCTCCTAGATAATAAAAATCTTTATGAAATGTTGTGTAACGTGTGATTTATTGGGACCATAAATGCAGGGAAACCAGGATAAATGATGAAAGTAAAGTAGAGAAAATCTTTTGTTTGTGGCATTTAGGATGTGTTTCTAGAGGATGTCCTGCTGTCCAGGAGCGGGGACGGTACCTCTGATTATAAAAGCAGAATTTAAATGAACATGAGAAAAAGTAGAAAACAAGATTTATGGTCCTCCAGACTTTCATCAGCTCAGCTGAGTTATAAATTTCTTTTGTTGACACAGTTTCCTCTTTCTCCAACTCTCTGTTGACACTCGGCACCCTAATTTAACTCCATGAGTTTAGGTCAGCTCTGCTTGAGAGTAAAGGTGCATTTCCCTGCTTTGCACTACTGTTCCGTGGAATCAGACGATGGACCCAAACGAAGGCACATCAAGCTCCTTTTATCTGTGGAATGTGGACGTTCTCCTTCAGGTGCAAAGTACAGAAGCAGATGGGTTTTCTCTTTAATCACTTAGCTGCATGACGTTCAAGATGCAAGTCATCCATGGCAAGCAAAAAGACCCAGGTGAAATCCAGGCCTGTAATAATGAGGCATTGTTGTGGTTTTATGATTGTTAATTAGGTTCCCGTCTTGGTGCCTGTGCATGTTTACCGTCCAGAGTTGGGTTATTATGCACAAACAGAGCCTTCCTGCTGTTATAGCTGCTACTTTTTTTTATCTTTATTTAAGCACTTAAATAGCTTCTGTCTGCAGATGAAATGGTGCCTGTTCTACATATCTTTGATATATAGATCAGCTTTATCAAAGCCTTCTTCTTGTTCTTTTATTCTCTCTGCATTTTAAATCTTCTGCATCTTGAACAAAGCTGCACGACAGCGGAGCTTCACACACTCACCCCTAATGGCTCATTAGAAGTGTGCAAAGTGAAATCTTTGGAAGTGAAGCAGAAAGATGATTCTGGTGTGTTGCAAAGATGTGAGAACGTGGCAAACTTCTGCAGAGGAAACGAGGAGCATCAAACTGTGACAAACCAGGCCCGAATTTCAACTTTGAGATGTTTTCTTGTATTGCACTCATGTCACCATGCCACACGCTAATATAAAACACTGCTTTCCAATCATAAACCACATTTAAGTTAAGAGTCATGATCATCATTTTTTATCTTTTCTCAGAGTACGCAAGTGGTGGCTCGCTTTACGATTATCTGTCAAGTGACGAAAGTGAGACGATGGACATGGGACAGATCATGAGCTGGGCTGCAGAGATCGCTAGAGGTACATTTCAGAATAATTATGGTCCTAGAAACGACAGGAAACTTAGATTCAGTGAAAGGTGACTCATTAGGAAAAAAAAGTGTTTCTTTGTTTTACACATCTGGATTTGTGTACACAGTTCCAGAAATCCAAATAAATGTTTTGCAGTTATTAAAACTAGCAGTAATATGATTAAAAAGGTCATGCTGATAGCAGCTAGAATTAGCAAAGCTGTAATAAAATAATAAACACACACACACACACACACACACACACACACACACACACACACACACACACACACACACACACACACACACACATATAGAGACAGAGTTAGGCATTCATGTATAAAAATATAGATATCACCATATTCATCTGAAATGTTTTTGTTTTAGGAATGCATTACTTACACTCCGAAGCTCCTATTAAAGTGATTCACAGAGATCTAAAGTCTAGAAATGGTAACACATTTATTTATTAATTTTTTAATAATATGAACAAAATCACTATTATTTTTAATGACTTGTAACCATTTTGTTTCCTTTTTATTTTAGTTGTTTTAGCTGCCGACAAAGTACTCAAGGTAGGTTTAATCATAAATGTTTGTTTTTCTGTATTTTTATAAGTGATCGAGTGTAAAGCAGGAAATTACAAAGAATCTCGTTAATCTGCAGAGCATGAACACAAGAGGGCAGTGACTAACTGAGTGGTTAAAAAAACACTGGCTGTGATTTTTGTCTGTGTGAATGATTGATTTAGTGGGTCTGGATAAAATAAAATACTTTTAAATGCTGAGTTTTTTTTTATTTGAATTATTTAAGATCCTTGCAGAAGAAAATAGTTTGCATGAAGAGTTTGCTTGAAGAATAACTGATGTACCTAAGTTTCAATATTATTTGCTATTATATTATGGCCTTAAATACTATAATTAAATACAAACCCATTTCTGCAGAGTTTGTTGTTCTTTTACACATCTGGTGAGATTTGATTCGTTTGGATCTCCTCAGATTTGTGACTTTGGAGCCTCTAAGTTCCTGTCCCACACCACTCACATGTCCCTGGTGGGGACGTTTCCCTGGATGGCTCCGGAGGTCATCCAGAGTCTCCCCGTCTCCGAAACGTGCGACACCTTCTCCTACGGCGTGGTGAGACGCATCTTTCCCATAAAACCTTCATTTTTATATGGATTCTGTTGAAAATGTGATTATTTTTAGGGAGTTTTTTTCTTTATTTTTAAAACCTGTTGGCCAACAAAAAAAAAAGGTTCATCCCTGAAACAACTTTAAAACTCGTATTCTTGTAGTTTATTTTTTCTTTTTGTAAAAAAAAATCTTATAAATAATGTAGTTAAACTCAGTGAAATGTATTCGTCACAGGAGTGCCTGACAAGAAGCTCAGGAAAGCACTGTTTTGTTTTTTAAATGGTAAACTTGACAGACAGGCTTTTATTTCTGCTTGAAAAATTCAGACATGTGGAAAATTTGATCAAATATGGTGAATACATTTGCAGGAAATTGCACTTAAGTCCCATTTTGGCTGCCAGACACTCGCCATGCTTTCACTTTAAGTTTTTTTTTATTCATAGTTCTGTGCAATAATTTTATTTTAAGACAGATAATTTAAAAAATGCTGTAAAGTCAGTGTTTGATCCTTTTAAAGACCTATTTCTGTTTCTGTTAAAGATTGTTAATGACAATGATTATTATTGCCTATTTAGTATAAATAATGAATCTTAAAAACCCTCGAATGCATTTGGATGTCAAATAAAAAATACAAAAAAATTCCACATTATTAAAAGATTGATGTTAGATTTTATCAGCCACTAAAATGTCTTTTATGTTCCATTTTCTGCAAATCCATCCACATAAGTGTGATGTGATATTAGTTTCTTAAATCCATGCATGTGTTGAGAGGCAGATGGTGGGAAATCCAGGAATGTTTTACAAATTTCAGGGAAAAAAAGCCTTTGAATTTTGGGAAATGACTGAGCTGAATACCAGCTGAAGAGCAGCTAAATTATAAGGGAGTGGCACCATTAATACGATTGGTCCGTCTTGTTTGTTGATTTTTGGTCCTAAATAAAAACATTTCCGCACTTTTGATGTTCTTTTGTTGCGTGCATGAATATGCATAACACGATTTATGGGCAAACAGAGTAAAAATAAGGAAATATTGATATTTATTATAGTTTGGTTCTGCTCTTCTCAGTAAAGTTAAAATTCCTAAAAGGAAGTTTGATGTTTTTAGGAGTGTTTTGAAGCCGTTTAGACTCGACAACAACACCAACCAAAATGTTTACCGCTGGGATGGAATAAACTCATGAGTTCACATCCCAGCCCAGATCGTCCGAAATCTGTGGCTAAACCAAATCGTGTCTTTGAATTTCGTAAAATGACTTCATCGCTCACTATGAATGAGCTATGCAGCAGAATAGTTAAAGGGACTATAAGGAAGTTTGACAGCCAAAACATGTGTAGAAATAATAAATTTCTTCTTCATAAGTTCTCCTGCAATGCCCTGGTCCTGTAGAATGATCCCTGGCATTTTTATTGTGATTGCCTGTTTTTCTGTAAAATCACAGAAAAAGAGAGATGCTCAGGTCGAGCAGGTTGCTTCATGCGCGTTCACGCTCAGGCATAGCCCGTAGCACTTGCTATCCGTAGCTTTAGCAGCAGAGTGAGGTAGTGCCAACTCAGCAACTTTGTCGCTGTTCCTAACGCCTAGTGATGAACCTAGCTACATTTCTGAGGACCCTTAGCTACTTTCTTCTAGATATTTCCTGCAAATTAGCAACAAAATAGCCATTTTCGCTCCGAACCGTTCTTTGCGTTGACGTTGTTGCAGGTGTCATCGAGGATATAAATGTTACAGATATATCAAATATTCCTGGTGCTTTAGCTCACCTAGTAAGATGGCTGACTCTCATGCTGAGGACCTGGGTTCGATTCTGGGTGTAAACATAGTTTATGTAGAGTTTCTTTTTTACATTAATGGTATATTCTTTTACAATAATAAGACGCCCAAATTTTAATTTGAGACTCGCCGAAAGCCATTGAATTCACGGATAAAAAAGATGTGGGTTCAACTTTCATTTTGGAACAATTTCTCAAGCAAGGGAAGGGAATGATCTGAGCATGCAGGAGGACTGACCCATCATAAACCTTTGTTGGCTGTGCTGAAGAAAAAGGTACAGAACCAAATTATTTAATTAGCTGCATGTTCTTCTGTCCTCTGTCCTCCGGGCCACACACACACACACACACACACACACACACACACACACACACACACACACACACACACACACACACACACACACACACACTGCACGTTTGGCCGGCCGACGAGAAAGTGCAGCTGCAGAGACAGAGGCACATTATTTTATTAATTTGCTGTGTTCTTCTCTCCTCCGGGCCACACACACGGGACGCTCTCAGAGTTCTGTGCTCTGTCTCAGCTGTTATTTTCGTTAAGGAGTGTGCACGTACAGCATGCACGCCTCGTGCACTAGCCTACTATTGAAGCTGCCATTACGCTTTTGGGCTGAGAGGGCAATGGCGAGCATAAAAATTCAAAAGTCAGAAATGTCCCTTTAAGTAAGAGTTCAATAAAGTCTCCTAAATGCAAGAAAAAGCATCTTAGACAACAAACTGACACTAAGTATATATTTATTTGGATGTTTTAATACATTTCCCTCTATTTTATGACATGTCGTTGTTTGTCTCTGTGACAGGTGCTTTGGGAAATGCTGACTCGTGAGATCCCTTTCAACGGTCTGGAAGGCCTACAGGTGGCCTGGCTCGTGGTGGAGAAGAACGAGGTATTTTGATGCAAAATTGTCGCAATACGCTTAACTTAACATGTCATTTGTCATTGTTATCTTAGCATGAATTAGTTGCTGAGATTCTCTATTTTAAATCTGAATGGATTGACAGGCTCATGGCTAGGCTGAGTAGGCCTAGGACTTTGTTTGCTTGCAGGAATCTTTTTGGTTCATTCAAATGTGTTGTAAACATTTATATCATTGTTGTAGTAAACATTAGGTGCTACATCTAGCTGCTGCTATAAGTATGTGCATAGGCAGCCATAGAAATTTGCAAATGTAAAAAAAGTGCATTGCAAATTTACTAGGAGGTACTATTTCCTGCTTCCACAAGCAAACATGTAAGTCAAGTTTTACCAGAAACAAAAAAAAAACTAATAAACCACCTTTAAAGCTTCTGATGTCTTCAAGGTAAGTGTTTATGTTTTAGACTCTTATTGTGAAGTTCTTTGAATTTCACTTCTACTGAAGTAGAATCTGACATTCAGTAAAAGAAAGGATATCCTGAGAAGGGATACAAAATCAGTTTTAAGAGCTTACTTAGTAAAAACACACTCACCCTCTTCAGTTATAACTATAATATAGAAGCAGAACGTATAGTGTGGGGTTCAGGAGCGCAGCGGCTAGGGATGGGTACCTTTGACATTTGAATCGATCCGGTACTAATTCCCAGTATCTACGAATCGATACCGGTACTTAACGGTACCAATTTTCGATACTTTTGAGTGTTTATTATTTTAATTCTCTTTTATAATTAAATATATATTTTTCTTAATATATAACAATATTTGATAAATATCACGATAAATAACATACAACTGTTTGTATTAACATCGTCCTTGTAGTTTTTTAAGCTGATAATTAAACTGAAGCAAACATCTTTACTGTGAACTAAATTTACTGTGTATCTTCATTCCTTTTGCCGTCTTTTTTCATTTGATTTTTCCTACTGGGAAGTTAGAATTTCCGAGGAGAAAGCGAACGCACCATTAGCTGATAACAACGGTGGCAATGGAAGCTAACATATCAAGCTAACGTTATCTTTAACAGTTTATTTAGCTGCTAGAGCAGATTAAAACGATGATGCCTCACACTTAGATCGTTGTCGCTGGTTTCGTCTTCACCCAATCACCCGTCGCATTTAGTAAAGTGAAGGCAAACTTTAGAGCGCGTTCATGTTCTAGTCGGAAATTCGGAGTTCCAAGGAGAAAGCGAACGCACCATTAGCGAAACGGAAGCTAACATATCAAGGTAACGTTATCTTAAACATTTTATTTACCTACCGGAGCAGATTAAGATGAGGATGTCTCACTTAGATCGTTGTCTGTCGCTGGTTTCATCATCTCCCAGTTACCCATCACATTTAGTGAAGTGGACCCAAGCGTTAGCGTGCGTTCTTTCTACCCATGCTGCTGTTTACAACTCGCTCGCAGGGGCCGACGACATAACGCTCTTGCGCATGCGCAGCTGTCTTGGCAAGTTCTCGTTATGAAGGACGTGTACCGAAACGAGGCACCGTTTGAAACGACGTGAATCGGTGCTCGTCGGTACTATGGAATTCGGTCGGTACCTTAAAAAGTACCGAATTCGGTACCCATCCCTAGCGGCTCTTCTTGACATGACTCATTTTTTCTTTTCTTTTCCTTGTCTTGTTTTATATAGAAATACTATTTAGACTTATTTCCCAACATTTTCTTGACAATTTCACTCAAATCTTGGCATTTCCACCTTATATTGTCCTTTGCAATGCATGAAAAGGCTATTGAATCAACAGACAATCAGGTTAATTGATAACTTATCCTTATAAGAGGATCCTCTTGTTTTGGCATTGCTCGAACTAGCCATTAGCATGTCAATCCAGTCAGAACTCCATTTTTACCTCTTTTATTGTTTTTAACATGATGTATTCGGACCAAATGTAGCTTAGCACTCTGATCGTTCATTTCTAAGGGTGCGATAGCATAAATGCTGCAAAACCTGCTGCAAGTGATTGGTGTTGTGTCCATAATTATTATTTTTCTGTATTTCAGAGGTTAACCGTCCCGAGTTGCTGCCCCTCCAGCTTTGCAGGGCTCATGAGGAGGTGCTGGGCTACAGAGCCAAAGGTGAGTGGCTTTGCCATCTAAGCATCGCATGTTTTTGTTTCAGTCATACAGCAATGTTTTTAATGTTCCTGTAGGAGAGGCCGATGTTCAGGCAGATCCTGTCTACCCTGGAGTCTATGTCTAAAGACAGACGGCTTCCTGAACAGTGCAACTCTTTCCTTCACAACAAGGCTGAATGGAGGTAATATGATCATCTTTTCCCCTGCAGCCTGTAAATGTATTTACCATGCCTTTCCCCCTTGCCAACATACTGCATCAGCCCAAGATAATGTGCAACTGTTTAGAAAGAATGATGTGGAAATGTAGCTGACGGGGGCCGCGATGCACAAAAAAGAACTTGAGATCGTGCATATAGATCCTTAATAATCGCACTGATAGCTACATAAAGACATGAAAACCCCCAAAGAATGATCCATCTGGATATACTTCCTCTCTTTATCCATAAGACCCTAAAAATAATCACCATCTTTTTCAAGTAGAAGTGTTTAATTAGCCTGTATGAGCAGCTGGATGTTTGGTGATGTTCAGCACAGCCTGAGTCTCAGCTGTCACTTTATTCTCTGTCTGCCTCTCCACGGGCCTCGTCTGTGCGCCGAGTTGGTTTATTTTTTTATTCTTTTAATTTGATTTCTCAGAAGTTGTGCTGGTGGCGTCATGTCCAAACTGCCATGTGCAGGTGGAGCAGCCTGGACTGAATGTGGAACAGAGAAAAACTAAAAAAGTTGACAGGCGGCAGCTTGCGGGGAAAAAGGGGGACTTGTAGCTACAACAAAAAGTAGGAAACGAGAGTGAGAAGAGGAGAAAATTAGTGATTTTTCTTATTTTTGCTCTAGAAAAGAGCCAATAGTCATTTTCGTGGTTTGCTTCAACTAATTTGACCTCATTGCTTTTTAATAATAGAAAAAGTCTCAAATCCTGTTTTCTGCCTAGCTTTAAAAGCAGTCGAGGGATCAATTCAAAATAAAACGTTTAGAGCGAAATGCAAATAAAGATTCTAATAGTTTTAACTATTAATATAATATTAATATTTCAATAAGTATTAGCTTGTAGGTGTCTAATGTTCCTAGAAAGCTTCCATTTTGAAGAATTGTTGGATCAGGAAGTGCTTGGCCTCCCTGTTAGAGCTGCATGTGTTTATAACTAAAATGAGGGATAGTTTGTTGTTTTTGCACCACATTGTGCAGCTCCACCTGCTGGACAAAACTCGCCTCCCCAGTGTGAGGAAAGTGAGACTTGTTGGGTTGTTTTTCGGATTCAGTGAGTTGTTTTGCACATTTCTTGGTTTTGGAGTTTGCTCACATACTAGTTTCCTTCATAACTCTGCTGCTTGCTTGAAAGTAGCCCAGTGTCAGCAAAACACAGTTAAAACCTATGTGTTGTGGCTATTTAGAGGTTAACTGTGGTGCAAAGTTAACCATTTTCAGCATTTCTGCTCTGATAAAAGAAAGACCCGCTCAAGTCTCGATGTTAACACTGAACCAAAGCTAATTGTTTCATTTTAGAGGCACAATCTGAACAAACTTAGCAACAATAAGTTAGAAAAGTTTGTAAAGTTGATCTAATCAATCAAATCCATAATCAAGTATTCAGCTATGCAATCATCCCGGCACCAAATGTGTTTTAATCAGAGGCCAAATTAATTCAAACAGTAGATGCACTCATACTCAGAAGTCCTCGCTGAAGTCTACAGTGTTGAATAAATTAGACAAAATTAAAGAACAAGCTGAAAGTCAGAAAATGTTTGCAGATTTTGTTTTTGTTTAACATGAATGAATTTAGTTAAAACGAATCAGACAAATGTTGATGATCTTTTGTTTTGTGCTGAAGGTGTGAGATTGAAGCGACGCTGGAGAGGCTGAAGAGGTTGGAGCGAGACCTCAGCTCCAAAGAGCAGGAGCTGAAGGAGAGGGAGCGGCGGCTAAAGATGTGGGAGCGAAAACTCGTCGAACAGTCCAACACTCCGGTGAGTCCCGCACCTTCCTGTCATCAGTTTGGTCCAACTCAGGGAGTCACGAGCAGTCTTGTGTCCTCAGTCACATTTAAGTTTCTCAGAATTGCTTTTCTGTATTCGGAGTCAGAAATGGGTAGAATGCCTTCTCTGGGTCAGGGAGGAGGTCCTCCCCCAAATGGAGGAGTTTAAATAGCTCGGGGTATTGTTCACGAGTGAGGGAAAGATGGAGCGTGAGATCGATAGGTGGATTGGTGCTGCGTCTGCAGTGATGCAGGCGTTGTACCGGTCTGTCATGGTAAGAACAGCTGAGCCAGAAGGCTAAGCTCTTGATTTACCGGTCGAGCTACATTCCAACCCTCACCTTTGGTCACGAGCTTTGGGCAGTGACCAAAAGAACGAGATTGTGGATACAAGCGGCTGAAATGAGTTTTCTCTGCAGGGTGGCTGGGCTCTCCCTTAGAAATAGGGTGAGAAGCTCTGTCATCATGGAGGGGCTCGCAGTAGATCTGCTGCTCCTCCACATCGAGAGGAGCCTGTTGAGGTGGCATCTGGCCAGGATGCCTCCTAGACGCCTCCCTGTTGAGGTTTTCCGGGCAAGTGGAGAGGGAAATCTAGGCCTGTCGTATTAGGCTGCTGCCTCTGCGATCCAACTGCGAATAAGCGGAAGAAAATGGATGGATGGATGTTTTTCTTTTTCCTAGAATGCACCAATTTTGATTAAAAATCCCATTACAGTCAGAGAAATCTCACTGAGTTTTATAAAAATGATTTACATTAAAGATAGCTCGATGAGGGTTTTTCTATTGCCAAACCCAATGCCGATATATAGAGGTCAAGATCAGCCGATGACCGATATGTGGATGTTTCACCCCTTACTTGCATGCTAGATTATCTCCAATAACAGCACATTTCTGAACCTGAATCACTTTTTTAACTCTTAATTTAACCAACAGCTGAATCTTAATTTTGTGCTCAGCGTTTCAATCAAACAAATGAATAAACTGACCAAGTATTAAATGTAAAGTAGATGATAAAAATCCTTAGTTGACAATATTGTTTTACAGCATTTATTAAACAGATGGAACCAAAATATATATTCAAATTTAATTTAGCAGCAGCTCTAGGCTGCCCACAGTCATGCCTGTTTTTAATTCGGCTCTACTAAACATTTTCTCCAACCCCCATCACCTGCATTTGAAAGGAAACATATGGACAAATGATTGGGTCGAAAAGCACTAGACAGCTCATTCAAGCCCGCCTAATTTAGCTTGGGAACGTGTCAGGCTGTATTGATTTAACCACAGAGAGAGCAGAGCACGTCTCGACTAGTAGAAGCTAACAGTTAGCAATAGCAAGTCCACAACACGGTGGAACATGTTCATGCTTGTGTTACTTGAGGGGATAACGCATCGATACCCAAGAAAGAAGAGCGAATGAAGGCAGCAGAAAAGTTGTGTCACTGTCAGCCAATCAGAGGCGAGATGTTTGCATATTATGAATATTAAGACTTCAAATCCTGCCCTTTTCCAACCCACACTCCTTTGAACCAACTTCTAGCCCCTCAAACAAGAGCGCCAGAGCTTTTTTTCTACAGAAAAGATCTCAATACATTCATTCATCCCAGAGACCACAGCAAACTTGTTGGAAAAAATGAGTGAATGAGAGCTTTAAGTTGTTTAATGCATCTGGGATCATTTAGTTATGCCTTACTGCTGTGAAGAGACACCTCGTTACCATAAAACATGATGTCTCCTGCTTTGTATGCATGATGCACGTTCTCTAATAGATGCATGCTGCACAGGAACCCAGAAATGATTATCAAATATATTTTAGAGCCCTCACCTGTGGATATTATGGATGTCACTTTCTGTAAGCCTAATGTTGGGGACGTATAGGCACATGCTGTGCAGAAACAGCCACGCCAGCCGGCTGCTTACAGAAGGTCAGGCTTTTATGATGAAGTGACATTTTGCTGACATTAAGATTGGCCAATTTGTTCTGGATGTGGTGGAGTGGAGTTGTTGAGACGCAGTCTCTTATCGGGATGGGAAAGTACATGTTTTATTTTATTTTATTTGTTTTTTCCGACTGCCCTTGGAATTTTCTTTTTGTCACTGTCTCACATTTTCATTTCAAACTTAAAAAAATAGAATAAAAATGGTCATTAAAATATTTACTGGAAAAATTCATAATGTACATTTCTTCTTTATGTTGATATGATGCTGCACAAACATGGTCCAGATGAAAATGAGCTCCAAAAGTTGAACTTGACAGTAGAGAAAACCATAAAAATGCTTCGGTGTTACACTTCATCTGGAGCAGGACACGCTTCCTTGAGCGGAGTCCATTAAATTGTCCCCTCTGCTTGTTCTAATCAGTCAGTCTCATGAGGAGGTAATCCTGTGTTTCTGCTTGTTAGCTCTATACTCAAACATCATGTGCACACTCATGCCATCAAGTCCCCGACGTCGTTAGATTCAGTACAGCAAATAGACCAGACTCTTGCCTTTTGTTTGAATTTCATTAAGCCAAATCGCTCTAGAAATAATGCTTTCTTTTCTATGTTTTAGACTTTTTTTGCCACATTTGAACAAACGCTGACTAAAAAAAAAACAGATGAAATCCTCACAACTTATAACACAGGACAGAACAGAGTGTAACTTAGAGGAAAAATTGTTCAAATACAGAATATGTGACTGCATATTCTGTCACACAAGACATCAAAAGACTGTGATGAACAGCAGCGAGACAAACTGACCATTAATGCATTTTGCAATGAGAGGAGGGAGGAAAATGTGAGTTTAATAAACTAATAAAATCCAAACAACTATTTCAGTCACATAAATATTTCTCTTTAATAAGCTGGTTATCGTCAACTAGTGGCGCCTGGGTCACATCTGACCTGTGAACTCATTCCATATGGCCCATGAGGTCGAGCCCAGTGGGTTGTGTTTTACCCCAGCTTTCCACTAAACACAAAAATTGTTGTGTAACGTCTACAAAGCTTTATAGTGGATGGGTGTGTTTTAACCAACCGTAAAGTGGGTTAGGGTTAACTAGGTCGTAGCCTAGAAGTCTAGATTTTGCTCTGCATGTCGGTCTAGCCATGGTGCATTGGAACCTCCACAGCCTAGCCAGTCTGGTGGCTGGCCAATCACAGCACTGAAACCGGGTGAGTGGGCAGATTACAGTTTGGTGGGTGGGATGATACTGTGACTGAAACTAAGATGGCGGTGGCTCGTTTTAATCAGCTTTGGTATCAACTTTAGAGTATGTAGACTTGAGCTTTTCTTTCAGTCAAGAGCAGATAGCGGTCCTTATATTTATTTAGAAAAAGGATGTATGAGTCTTCTTTGACAGTGTTAGGCAGACTGCCCCATTGACTGGCATCCATAGCAGTGAGTATGTCACTTTGTTTGTTGTCCAATAGCATGTAGAGACAGCTTGAAAGACAACTGTAGATCCCGCCCCACGACTGAGATCTGTCAATGGGTCTTGGCCAGACTATACATTCACAAATATAGGATGGCTTGCCAGGCTAGTAGTGTCACTTGGCTTTGCAAAACATATAATTTGAGTCCATGTTATACGTGCTCATCTTGAAAAGCACGTCAAGTTAAGTTGTTAAGATCGAACCAGAAAGAAAGTCAAACACAAAAGCAGTCTAAAGCATCTGGCATTGTTATCGCGTGAACTGCTGAAATTACGTGTGATCTTGCAATTCTCTGGTGATTTTGTGATTTAATGGATGCATGGAACACTTTTACTCCCTATTCGCATCTGACACTCTCGGTGGTGCTGTTGAGCGTCCCTTATGTTATGCATTCAGTGGAAAGCCGGGGTTAGCCAATCAGCGCTCTCGCTCTGAGCATGTGATCAGACTACTGGAGTGGAAGGACGTGCAGCAGGATGAGAAGAAAGCTATCCTGCATCCATGTCAGCAATCTCAAAATGTTCACACTAGTTATTTTTAATGAAAATGTGTTGATCTTATTCAGCATTTATCATCATTTTTACAACTTTTTCATACTGGACCTTTTTTTTCAGGCAAAGTCACAAAAAATTGTAGTCAAACCAAAATAAAGCTTAATTTTTATAAATAAAATATCATAACAGCCTTGCAAATGTCATCTATTTACAAGAGGAGAAATTGGAATAAATAAAGCAGACTGGCGGTAATTACCAGCAACATGGCTAATCAGAGACACCGGCCCCCGCACCGTCTGATTAGAAACATTGTGACTCTTGACTAAATTTTGTTGATGACCCCCATTGTTGACCATTAGGAACAACTGCTCTAAATTGTAGAGTCTAATAACTGCAAAAATGATGGTTTCAGTGACTGATTTGGAGGACTTGGTGTTTATAAACACATGATGTCTTTATCCAGCTAAAGTCTGCTGCATGTGTGTTTCCCTACAGCTGCTGCCCACTCTTGACATATATACCTGGACTGAAGAGCATGTGGTCAGTATTTATGTATTTGTCCTATAACTAACACATTAATTTACACTAGAATTCAAATTTCTACCATGACCGTTAAAACTGACGCGCTGCTGTTTTGATTCTGCAGTATTTCTGGATGCAGCACTTATTTGATGCAGGTTTGGTCCTTCTCTATTCTGAGGATTTTGAGACTTTGTCCACCTTCAGACTTTCCACTGATGTGATTGTTTCCTCCTTTTCTGTTAGGGAACGGTACATGTGACATGCAGCTTTATGCCGATCTGTTTAAAGACAACCACATCACCGGGAAGAGGTTGCTGCTGCTCACAGACAGCGACATGCGGGACATGGGGATCAAGTCCAAAGGTCACGTCATGCACCTCAAGGCAGGAAACTCGGATCATTACAACTAATTCTGATCCGTCGTTCACAGGATGCGTGATGAGGTGAATGATATTTGTAATTACTGTAAAACCTAAGAGATTTTCCTCCTGTGCAGGCGGAAATTGAAAAGCTAGCCAATGATTACCTCGGGTTTCTCCACTTCCCACCTCTGCTGAAGGTATTGACCTTCATCTTGAAGTGTTAGTTTGTTTTCTGCTCATAGTTTTATTTTACTGATCTTTTTTTTCTGTAAGGATGAGCTGGAAAAGGAAGTGGAACAGAGCAAAACTGTTAATCTGGAGTTGGTGTTTGGGTACCACTGGAAACCGGGAACAGGACAGTCTGTAAGTTTGCAACAGAAGCACTCTCCAACACACCAACTTCACCATATTCTGCAGCTGTGAGCATCTGATGCAGCTCCTTATTGACTCTGTGAAACCAACAATTAATGAATGCCACAAAGAAATGCGGAGCCCACTTTGAATTTTTTTTTTTGGGAACTTTCTCAGCCTGCTTGCTGCCTGGAGCTCTTTGTTCCTGAAGATGCGTGACGGCGGCCATTGAGGGCATCACTAGACAAATAAACATTTCACTCCCAGCCTTGCACCGCATCCACCTCCACTTGCTCACAGCCCCTTTTGCTGGGGGTTTAAAACTGTGGAGAAAGGGTTGTTCTTCACTTGCTGTTTGAATTTAATCAAAAATAGCCCATTTAGCCAGAAGTCATTTTCTTTTAAAAGGCAAACGTTATTTAATCTTTCAGCTGTTCATTGTCCCATCATAAATAGTCCTCTTTCAGTGTGTTCGGCAGGGCTGAAACGAGCCTGCTAATTGCCTCCCATTTCTTCTGACATGTGGTGGTTTAGTGGGTAGAAAACACAGCAGGGAGAAGGAAACAGGAGGCTGAGAAAATGAGAGCTAATTATTTTCCCCTGCCTGGTGTCAGGTTCCGTGTCAGCCTTGTTTTTACAAACTGGAAGGTTTTTTTGCACTAAATAAAACAAACCCGCACTGCATTTTTTTCTCCCTCTCTCTTTGCCCCTCTTTGCTGGCGATGTCATGGAAGCAGCTGCACTTCTCAAAGACAAAATGAGGGCCTGCGATTGTGCGGCCACCATCTGACAGCCACTGAGGGTCCCCCACTAATGAGGATATCACCGTGCAGCCAAGTGAAAGGTGCTGAATTATGTATGAGTTGTCATTAGACGCACTTGGGTCCTAGGCATCATTACCAGACATTGTTTCTGCTGGAGTGATTAGACTAGCGCGGACCTGGGAGCCCCAGTGCGACCGTCCAGGGCCGACACCGGGCCAGCGCCGGGGCCACTGGTGTGTTTCTGAGCCAGAAGCTTGCCGCGGCTTCTGCTTTGAGCCGCTTCCAGCCCCCAGGGACGATGAAGGAGAGGTCGAAGGCTCCACAGATGAGTGTGTCGGTGCCACTCTTCTGATGTCTCTCTCTGTGATCCCGACACAATGAAATGGCCTGTGCCATGAACCCAGCATGGTTAAGCGGTGACCTGTGGCTTCGTGGCCAGCTCTGTGGGATTGGAGGATTCATTATATGCCTCGTCAGCATTCTGTATTCCAATGAAGACGAGGGTTTGGAGCAGTTTCTCTGATTTTTACCTTCTGCAGCAATTCACAAGAGAAAAAATTATTTTTTCCTTCCTTATACAAATCAACCGGCACCAAAAATCCTAGATTATTTTTTAATACATCCAGTAAAAGAAATCTACTGCTGCCATTTATTTCTTTATTTTTACAACCATATTTCTGTGAAAGGTGTGCAATTTTGAGGCATTAGTGTCATGTGATTTAAATTTTCCAGCAAAAAGGTATTTTTCACATGATAAATGTATTGTCTGTAGAGTTTACATAAAAAATATATCTCTTCTTTAGTCTCTGCACCATTCATTAATGAAACATTTTACTTTGCTACTTCAGCCTTTGCAGCCAATAACCTGCCACTGCCGTCAGGGGCGTAACCATCACTCAAAAGTGAGGGGGACAATTTTTTTCAGAGTTATTTATCATCTTCTCGCATTCAATCTTACATTTCTTAGTAGATAAAAAACATTTAAAGAGCAAGTAATGCTTAAATTAACTTGTTTTTGCTGATAACCTGTATAGATGAGTGTCTAATGGTGCTGTACACACGTGTAATCATTAGTGTGGCAGTTTAGTGCAACTTACTCTAAATTTAATATTTCAGCCCAAAACCGTAATTATATCTCCATCTTCAGGTTAAAACTCTGCTCCACATTCATGCAGAACCAGCTGAGGCTGATGGCTAAGCTGAAAAACGTGACGTTGTCAGCAAATTACTACGTGGCTGCACCAGGTGAGGCAGCCGCACCTCCACCTGGCTCAGCCACTCACCTGCCAATATGACACGCTGGTTCTCTGAGCCGCTCACCTCCTTGAAAAAAAATGCCCTCCTCCCCTTTTTCATCTAAGGATCGGGGTTAACAGGAAATCCTCCAGAATGCTGCAGAATCTGTGTCTGCTTTTGTCCTGAGCGGTACGTCTCGTGTGAGTGCGTGCTTGCGTGCACGCGCTCGTTAACAGCTCATTTTTAGATTGAGGAACTCCGACAGCACACGCGGGGTGGTTGAGAGGGGTGCAGTCTACCACTGCCTCAGTGCCGCTCTCTCAGTCCGCCAGGCCACACCTCTTTCAGAAGCGTTTTCCTAACAGGAAGTGTGGATGAAATACATCTCCACCCAGGCCTTGACCCTCACTTTAATCACTGATTTAGTTATTAGCGAAGTGGTTCAAAGACAGTAATGATTATTACTAATATTTAATTTTAGAGTTACAGGGCGCCACCTGCTTAGCATGAACAAATGACAGTTTAAATAGTAGTGGGCAATTTTTTCCAAAAATAAAAATAAAATAAAGATTCTTGGATACCCAACATTAATAACAGCCACACAGCACCAGTGAACCAACTTTAGTTCTTTAAACTATAAATAATACAAATGTTAATTTTAGCTGCCAAACTCAGGTTCAGTTGATAAAAATGATCCATGAAGATCATTATGGGCCAAATCACAACACTGAGTATAAAATGCTCAGCAAAACAACAGTGCTGGGAAAAAATGGAGTGGAGATAGTGGAATCTTGGGGGTGCGTCACCGGAGGACAACAGGTGATGCGCCTCGCTCCGCAGCAGCGAAATGCATCAGGCACAAATAACAGACAGAAAACATGAAAGGAAATAAGCCGACATGAACGATTGCGTGTTTAATTTGTTTTTGAGGTGGTGACACCTGATTTGGCGGTGCTCAGGACGCAATGTCGGGAGCGCACGTCAACAAAGTAAGGTTAGGATGGGGGTGAGGGGAAGGTTAAATTGCAAGAGGGAAAAGGTCACAGTTTGGTTAAATGTCCGTTTTACCGCCGGTGTCAGTACCGCACAGCGCGTCGCCTCCGCCTCGATCCAGACGCGCAGTGGCTCATCACCTGCTGTCTTTTCCGAGGACTGCATCTTGTCAGTCATTATCACGTGACAGCGACTAGTCGATGACAGGCATAAAAAGTCACTACAGAGCCGTGAAGTCGACTAGTTCGTACAACCCCTACTGCCTAGCACATAAAATTTAATGAGTGTTGCAAAATAAGCCATTTAATATACAAGGCATTAACATAGAAAGTCACACAACGCTGAACACAACATTGTAGTGAAATGTGACAGCATGTGTGCAAAAATAATCAAGATAAAGAAATATGGCATGACAAATGCCTGCTACATTTGAGCATAGAAATAATGCAGTAGTCAAATTATATCAGTAAATAAATAATAAACAAATAAAAATATGTACTCTTCCTGGGCTACCTATTAAATTACAGTGAAAAATAGTTTAAGTGTTAATGAGAATAATTCTGAAAGATCTTTGAAAACCCTTTCCTAAGGCCTGCCTGGTTTCTCCCATCTCTTACCAAGTTCTAATCTCTCCTTACCCGTGGAGACCCTCATCACCATCCCTGATGCTGTCCTTTGACCTGATGTCTCCTCCCTGACTCTGCTCATTCTGTTGTGGCTTTATAGATAAAGGTGGAAAATAAAATATTGTAACAGAGTTAGGATAAGCACCAGTAATATTACTATGGAAATTAACTTCAAATCTCTTTATGCCATTATTCTTAGCCACTTATTTTATCTTTTAACCTACAGACTCTCTCTCACACTGCTCGGTCTGTGTGGCCAAAAGACAAATAAATGGAAAATGTGGAAAGCAAAGTGTTAAAATAAAACTAGGATGGGTTACAGTGAAAGCGGAAAAAAAAACGTTTAAGTCCCTTTATGCCATCATTTCTCAGCCACTTACCGTATTCTCGTTTTACCTACAGACCCTCCCTGGTTCTCCTGTTTATCGTCACAATATTTTTTCTTTCAAACATGTGGAAAGTCACAGTGAGCACAAGTTCAGCACAGAAATAAAGTAGAATTGGGTTTATTCCCAGCAATAACTAACTAGCAAAAGAGAAACACAACTTTGTTAACTAACATAATGTTGGCTTGTATTAGGCTACCTAGCTATCATTTAGCTAACATTATCTGTACGCAAAAGCATAACTCAACTTACACAGTTTGGTTGGAAAAAAACGCAAAGCTTTTTGCCTTTTACTGTCTCTGGCTGGTTTGCTGAACATTGTGCTGCTCCTCTGTTCACTCAGCAGCAGCACCTGTCGGAGAGCCACTGGCACTGGATGCTCGCGTTAGCCTAAGGTGCGTTTAAAGATGGCTCGGAAAAATAATTTTCCGCATATTAACGGATAAAACGGTAGCCTGGCAAGCCAGACTAAATAAATGTATTATTTAGTCTGGCCATGCTCCATTGACGGCTCTCGGTTGTGGGGCGGGTTCTACCATTGTCTTTCAAATGATCTCCACATTGCACTGGACAATGAATGTGACATTCTCTTGTTTCACTCTGTTGCATCATCCCACCCACCAGGCATATAGAGTGCCCTGATTGGCCCACAAAGCGGATAAAGCTCTGTGATTTGTTCACTAAGCAGATAGAGCACTATGATTGGCCCACCATTATGGACCAATCACAGCTCTTTATGTGTTTGAAACCCCGCTAGAGAGCTGTGATTGGCTAGCCAGAGTCCTGGTAGGAGCTGCTGAGGTTCCAATGGAGCATGCCTAGACCATTCTTTGCAAAGCAAGAATTTGGTCTATCAATCAATCAATCAATCAATCAATCAAAGCTTTATTTATAAAGCGCCTTCCTCAACCCTGTCAGGAAGCCCAAAGCGCTGAACATGGTGCAGTTAAGTAAATATATTGAATAAATCAACAATAAAAGAAATTCTAATTACAAAGTACAAAATGGAAATTACAAGATAGATGAAGCAGTCCGGTAAAGGACAAATGTGTGAAACACATTTGGATTGAGTGGATGGATTGAGTGTACCAATGAAAACTGTGGAATGGATTCAACATAAAAGAGGGCCAAAATCAAACATATTCTGGAAACGCCAAGCGGAGGAGGTGTGTTTTTAGGTGATTCTTAAAGACTGGCAGAGAAGGGGACAGCCTAACTGAGGGTGGCAACTGGTTCCAGAGTGACGGTGCTAGGACTGAGAAAGCCCGGTCCCCACGGGTACGACACCTAGACCGAGGGACAGCGAGCAGGCCTTGGTCAGAGGAGCGCAGAGCACGTGATGGGGAATGTTTGTTCAGGAGAGTGGCCAGATAGGGGGGAGCACCACCCTGGAAGAAATGATAAACAAAGACGAGTATTTTGAATTGTGAGCGATAGCAAATCGGAAGCCAGTGCAGGGAGGCCAGAACTGGACTGATGTGGTCCCGTTTCCTGGTCCCAGTCAGGAACCTGGCAGCGCTGTTCTGCACAACCTGTAGGCGACGCAGTGTTGACTGACACAACCCTGCATATAGAGAGTTGCAGTAATCAAGCCGAGAAATAACAAAGGCATGCAGTACCCGCTCCAGGTGGGCTCTCGACAGCATATGCTTGATTTTTGCAAGGCGTCTCAGGTGAAAGAAACTGGACCGGATCACAGAATTGATGTGAGCATCAAATTTAAGTCCTACATCAAGTTTCACCCCCAAACTGGTAACAACTGGTTTTGAGTACGGAGAAAGAGGGCCAAGATCAGCATAACGATCCACATTCCTGCTGTTGGGGTGAAAAACAATGAGCTCTGTCTTTCCCTCATTCAGATGTAGATAGTTGGACATTAGCCAAGACTTCACCTCATTAACACAGGAGACAAAGGATTGAATAGAGTGACCTTTCTCCTGACACAATGGAGAGTAAATCTGGCAATCGTCAGCATACAGATGGAATGATAGGCCATGTTTACGAAAGATTGACCCCAGAGGTAGCAGATAAATGGCAAACAAAAGTGGACCAAGGATCGACCCCTGCGGGACCCCCCAGCGGAGCCCCTCCCAAGAAGAAAAAACATCACCCAGTTTAACACAGAATGTCCTGTTTTGGAGATACGATCTAAACCAATCCAGAGCTGACCCTTTGATCCCAACCCATCGTTCCAAGCGATCGAGTAGAATCGCGTGGTCAACTGTGTCGAAGGCTGCTGTCAGGTCTAACAACAGAAGCAGCACAGATGTACCCTGATCTAGTGATAGATAGATGTCATTTAGGACCCTCAGTAGAGCAGACTCTGTGCTATGGCCAGACCTGAACCCTGATTGGAAAACCTCAAACAGATCAGAGTCAGCTAAATGTGAGACCAGCTGCTGATAAACGACTTTCTCAAGCAGTTTAGATGTGAAGGGCAGGGTAGAGATAGGCCTGTAATTTTCTATTACAGAGACATCAGCACCAGGTTTCTTCAGGGTCGGCCGAATAACTGCTGCTTTCAAAGCAGCTGGGACAACACCTGTGCTGAGGCTCCCATTGATAATCTGACCAAGTGAAGGGCCAAGGCACCGAAAGGCAGCCTTCCAGAGACGAGGCGGTAGAACATCAAGTGGAGAGCCAGAAGGCTTCTGCCTCGCAACTAGCTTACTCAGCTCAGAGTATGAAACTGTATTGAGGGAGCTCAGGGTGGGTGGTAATGGATGAACTGGAACAGGGTCAACAGAGTTACCAGAAATAGCTGCTCTAATACCTGACACTTTATCAACAAAGAATTTGTGAAAAGTTTCAGAGTTTCCAGCAGCTGTAGGAGACATGGAGCTAGGCTCCTGATACACCAGAACTGAGTTTAGCGTTTTGTAGAGAATCTTAGGATTATTGGAGTTTGTCTCAATGATGTCTGCAAAATAGGCCGTTCTGGCAGCCCTCACAGCATCCTGATAAGCAACCAGAGATGCTCTGAACAACTCACGCGAGACCTGTAGGCCATCCTTTTTCCACTTTCTCTCAGAGGATCTACACGCCCGCCTGCAAGCCCGTGTGACATCAGAGAGCCATGGCTCCCTCCTAGGTCGAGACTTGCACAGTTTGAGAGGGGCAACCACGTCCAGGACCTGATTACAAAGTAAATCAAAGTGTTGTGAATAGTGATCAACGTTAGATGGATCTGGGTTAAAGGTCTCTAACCTTACAGACATACAGTCCACAAACTCTGAAATAGTTTCTGCATCCAGGGCTCTGAACCTAGTAGCGTGAGCTTCACACACAGGGACAGGACATGGCAACGTAACATCACAGAGTATTGGAGAGTGGTCAGAGAACACAGGAGGCAAAGTCACAAGGTTCATGACGGGTAGACCATAAGAGATAACCAGGTCCAGGGTGTGACCCCTGGCATGAGTTGGGGATGATACCCATTGAGTTAGATTGAATGAATCTAGCAAATTAAAAAAAACTTTAGCGAGCACATTGTCAGGACAGCAGATATGGATGTTAAAATCACCAAAAAATAGGACATAATCATATTTTAGGATGCAGTCTGCCACAAGATCACAGAAATCATTAAGGAAGTTAGAGTCAGTCTTTGGAGGGCGATAAATCAGCACAACGAGCAGGCGGGGGGAGATGCACAGCTCAAATAAGCACAGTTCAAAGGAAGAAAATGACATGGTGGGTGTAAGCTGTTTACAAGGAAAGCTGGATTTAAAAACAACAACCAGCCCTCCACCTCTGCCCCGTGGTCTGGGGGGTATTAAAACACGAGCAGCCAGGTGGTACCAGCTCGATTAGGGAACTTGTGTCACCAAACGGGATCCAGGACTCACAGATGCAGAGAAAACCCAAGTCATGCTGAATAAAAAAGTCACGAAGAATAAAAGTTTTGTTCAGCACAGACCTGGCATTGACCAAACCAAACCGGGTCTGTAGCGGGGCTGCAGCACCGAGATCGCGCACGGACCCAGTCCCCTCTAACTCTGTGCCCGTAACCGAGCGCAGATTCTCCCAGCAAACCCCAGTCTGGCGAGATCTTCGAGCCGATCGGCCGTGGCGCGGTGCCGGTTCACCCTCAGAGCCGGCCGAGTTCCCTGAGCAGGGCGCCGAGTAATCCAGGAGACATCTCGGAACCATCGGGTCAGAAGCTGGGCCGGATCGGGCCAGCCGCTTGTTCAGGGATCCAGGCCGACGTCTCACGCGCCGGCTACCTCTCTTTCCTCGTCTTCTCCGATGCTTCCTTCTCGAGCCGGGGCGGACAGAGGGCCAACACATCACGGCTTGGGTGGAGAGAGCACGTGGGCAGTTCAACCAGCAGCATCGTCCGTGAGGTTCATAGCTCACACAGCCCGGTTCCCAGCGCGCGCTGCCCGCTACATCAACGGAAGGACGAAGCCTCAGCAGCACAGCTCGATCATATGTCAGCAGAGGATCCACACCATTCAAAAAAGGGATCAGCGACATGAAAAGTGCATAAAAGCCAATAAAACGCCAATAAAAACCAATAAAAAGCAAGGTATCAGTGCGTAAAGAGGACGAGCAGCTCGCAGCGTGACCATGCGCAAGCGCCATCTTACTCCTTCTCCAATCTAGTCTAGTTCACTAGGCAAATAAAACGGCTGAAAAAAGTGCGGGGGACAGAGAGCACTGTCACGGGAAGTGAGGGGGACATGTCCCACGCGTATCCTGCGTGAATTACGCCCATGACTGCCGTTAACCTACCTGTAGGTTGTGCTGTTGATTTGTGCCCAAAATCCAGCACATTTTCTCCTAACACGAGTGTGCATTTGGAAACTTTTTCATGCACTTGAGTTGCCTTTGATTGCCATACAGTATACATATGTTTTTCTTCCAGGATTGCAAATGGAAGATGTACATGGAGCTTGATGGAGATGAGGTTGCTGTAACCTACATCAAAGATGTCGTCTTTAATGCCAACAGACAGGATGTGGAAACCCCACGGATGACTAAGGTATATAGTCAGGAAAAAAACAAGTGCTTCCTTGTTTATTTATTGCTAAATGTCTGAGATTTATGCTCATATTTTAGTTTGTGTTTGAGCTGCTGTTTGTCTTATCTTGTGGTTAGAGTAAATCAAATCAAATCAACTTTATTTATAGAGCGCTTTCACATGGCCAGAATGGACAAACAAAGCGCTGTACATCAATAAAATGCCACACAATAGGACAGAGATATGACCATTAAAATACATTAATAAATCCATTAAAATACACTAAAAAATCCCTGTAAAATACCGTAATAAATCCTATAAAAATACAATAAAAAATCCATTTTAAAATACAGTACAAAAACCTGAGTGCCAGTTCACAGTCCATATCCGGCCTACTTCCCCCAACTTCAACGTCCAAAAGCCAGCGAGAACAGATGTGTTTTCAGTCTTCCTTTAAAGGTTTCTAATGACTTGGCCTGTTTTACATCGGCTGGCAGCTCATTCCAGAGACTTGGTCCAAGTACTGAAAAAGCTCGACTACCACGAGACTTCAGGCTGTACCTAGGCACAGTTAGTAATCTCTGGTCAGCTGACCTAAGGGAACGCACCGGGACATGCTGGTGGATGACATCGGAAAGATATTTAGGAGCCCCTGTGTTTAACGCCTTGAACACAAACATGAGGACCTTAAACCTGATGCGATAAAAAACAGGGAGCCAATGCAAGGCACGTAGGACTGGTGTTATATGTTCAGACCTCCTGGTAGATGTTAACAACCGGGCTGCAGAGTTCTGAACCGCCTGGAGGCGTGCTACTGGAGCTTGTCTAAGTCTAAATCAAATGGTAAGCTACAATACATTGGTCAGGATTCAGAGCTATCCAGGTCACTCTGACCTTAAGAAGGGTTAAATATATTCTAAAATAAAAAAAACATGCATTTTCCTTCTGTTCATGCAATACTTTGAGACAAATATAACATTTTCTCATGTTATTATGTTATAGCCACCTTTTCTGATGGATAAGTGGATCGTTGGATTGCAACAAAACCAAAGAATAGACTACACCGTCAATTATGAGGTACCGGGGTAGTCCTTTTCAACATCTGTTATGTCTTTGTTATTATTGCAAGTAAAATGTATTTAACTTATTGTATCTGTTCCTTTTCATGTTTCAGAATGATGTGAAGTCACCAAGGTCAACAAGACACAGTCGTGAGGTGAGGTGGAGTCCTAACGGTGGACAAGATGAGATCAAGACCATAGAGCTGGTCATCGAGATGACTCCGGTTAACATAGACCCCAGAGACAGATCCAACTCTGGTAATTATGGGTACATTTTTTAGCTTTGTTGTCCTTTTAAAGACCAGTAAAAATGACTAAAGAACAATGCAAATGTTTCTTTAAGGTATTGATCCAACATGGATGGATAATGTGAGGCGGAAACATATGATAACCCAAAAATCCCAGCAGAAGTCTGCTCCTCTGAAGAGCTCTGATGCTCTCACGCTGCCTCAGTTTCTTTCCGCTCATGAAAGCCAAGCATCTTCTTACGCTGCAGCTGTGCGTCGCTCTCCAAACCACCTCCGTGCCTCTCCATGGAGCGACTCTCGTAGCTCCTCGCCAACAGCCAGCCTGTCGGCCAAACTCTCACCTCTCAGCCTCGGGTCAAAGGGCAGCAGTCCCTCCAGCACAACGTCGGAGAGCAATTCAGAGCGAGAGCGCCCACGCAGTGTCGGTGCAACGTACGACCGTTGCAGAAACAGCTACTTTGGCAACACGTTGAGTATGGGTGGGGGGCAGGTAAGGGGGCAGGCATGGACAAATAATAGAGGAAGCAATATTCATAATAAGAACAGCAGAGCTTCACGGCAGTCAGGGAGGCCACGATCCAATAGTTACGGTGTCACAGGACAGAACCGCCCACCAATGATACCGGGCATATTGTCTGTGACAGGAAACCCCAGCGAGGAAAAAGAGGGGGGCAAAGTCAACGATGGAGGGTGGATCAAAGTGGAACGTCAGAAGCGATTACCGCGTCAGGACAATAAACAACTCAGAGGTCGACAGAGGAGAGAGGGCAGGGGAGGGCGTGGCGCTGGCGGAAGAACATAATGTGGGCTGACAGCTTCTTTTAAACTGAAAATTCTCTGAAAGGGTTTTACATATGAATTATAGTCACTGATGTGCTCAAAAGGAGCTGCATAATGTAAAAGAATCACAGTAATATATGAGTGCATCAGACAGAATTTTTATTTCTTTTTTTAGAAAGAGAAAAATGACTTTACATGTACAAACCATATTTATGTTTTTAATAAAAGCAGATTTATTATCATGCACTGAAAGGAGGACAGCATCATCTACTGCAGCTGTTTTAAAAATGTTATTTAACACTTTTTGTCTTGTAGCAACATTAGACCAAGATACAAAGAAGGGATAAGAGCTTTATCATATTACAGCTACGTTTCACTTCCTGTTTACAGAAAACCTGTCATCCAAGTTTTTATTGTACCCTTTTACAGTAACAATGACAACAATTATCAGTTACTTTATTTTATCAAAAAGAATGATACTTTTTACTGACTGTATAACTCATGAAGTGAATAAATGACCTATTTCTTAAATAGTTTGATGTTTTTTCTGGGCCCTTATATCTTTAGGAAGGAGTTGTTGGAAGGGACTCAAATTTCTACCCGCGCTGTATGCAAATGCACCAATGGTGCTTTCGCGCTACTGCGCAGGATCTGGAAGAGACATAAGAATTAAAAGTAAAAATATATTTTTAAAGGTATTTACGTGAAATCGAATGAATGATTCTTGAGCATAATTGTATTGATTTATTGGATCGATTTTCAAAATGAATTCATTTGAGGCAAAAAAAAAAGTTTGGAGGGTTGTTTTTATGTAGCTTTCAGGGCCTTTTTGTGGCGCGGGAAATGAACGGAATGTAGCAACATGCAGCTGCAAATCCTGCTTTGTTAGCTGCAGAGCTGCTGATCGGTGACTTCCTGTAACTCAGAGTTGGACTGTTTTTGCCTGGAAAAATGCCTTTTACGCGCTCCAAGGTAAGAAAACCACACAACATTTTAGATAAACAGCACACCAAATGTTACGTTATTATATTCTAATAAAACATCAGGTCACAGATAGGTTTTGATTCCCCAAGCAGTGCATTAAAGGAAGGCCTGCACGGTTACTTTCAAGTTATGCACTCAGAACGCGTTTATTTAACTATTTTTTTTGTTAAACTGATAATAAAATATAATGTATTTACATAGACTACACTTTGTTTAGGCTTAGGGGTGTGTCCTGAAAACTGCAGCTAAACTATCCATCTGTATTAAATTCGCAAATGCATTCCCCACAACTATCACTGTTTCTTAGTATATTTACAATTGTATTTGAAAGTTCTGACATCATATGTTAAGTTGTTGCATCTAGCCAAAGTAGGAGGTTATTCCTTGTTATAGCTCTATAATATACAATTTTTAATAATAAACATTCATTAAGATCAAATGAAACTAAAAATATTTTCCGTTTGTTATTTTGACCCCCATTCCGAAACAGGCGGCCCAGCCTCCATCATCCAGGATGAGTTTGAGGAGGTTCTGCAGTGTTGTATTGGTTCCCATAGCGACCACCTCTTCCTCTGATGACAGCTGTGACAGTTTTGGCTCTGATGGGGGCTTCGCTAACACGGTAAAATACTGCAAAATGCCAGATTTGATCATACTTCTGTAGAAAATGGGAGCAACTATTGGTTGTGACACATGCCCTTGTCTTTAGAAGCAGATGAGGAGAATGACAGACAAACCCAAAGTGTTTGAGGACGACTCCTGCAGCGGCTCTGATGACAGCGAGATCAGCAGTCGGATCAAAGCTATGGTAGGAGGTGCAGCCGGAAAGATTTTGCAACTCTTAAACCAAGCGTGCATGTTCCTCTTGAACTAAAAAGATTTTATTCTTGCAGAAAGTAGAAACCAAGCAACCAAGACGCCGCAGACCGAATGCCCTGAAGGTTGCCATGAGTTTTCCCACAAAGACGACAAACAGGAAGAGACCTGCGTCTGAACCGCTGCCACAACCCAAAATCCAGGACTCTGACTCTGAGGAGGAGAACTTTATGAGCAAGAGAGCCCTGAATATTAAAGAGAATAAAGCAATGGTGTGGCCTGTTTTTTATTTTCCTACTTTTCGTCCTTGAATTTATAAAAAGATAAAAATGTTTTTTTTATTTTTATGTTTCAGCTTGCAAAGCTCATGGCAGAGCTGAACAAAGTGCCGGGGCTCTTCCCAGGAAGACGAATGGCGATGTCGGCTTCAACCACTGTAAAGTTAACCGTCTATTAACAACAGGTCTTTCACATTAACTGGTGATTTTTAATTTAATTTATAATTACCTCTGTCAGCCAAGACGGACACCTCAGCGATCCACGGGACTCCCGAGAGCTTTCAGGAGAAACCCGGAGCGGCTGTCCCGACCCCACACTCGTTCTCGCTCTCAGGTGGATGGACCCCCCAGCCCGACCCCTAAGGAAGACCCCGAAGATGAGTTCAGCCTGGTTCGCAAAAGCCGCTACTACGAGGAAGTTGATGAACCTGTAAGAAAGATCAGAGCTTTTGGTAAAATCTCGTTCATTTAAACGTTCTGACGCGTAAAACTTTCCTGCACAGCCACGCCGCCGGTGCTTTAGTGGCACTAAGGCCATCCCTCACGTGGTGCGGCCTGTGGAGGACATCACAGAGTCGGAGCTGCAGGGGATCTGCTTCAACGTGCGGGATAAGGTCTACAACAGCTCCACTGTAAGTTCTGCGCTCACCGTGTCATTAAAACAACGACTGGTGATCAAACCGAAGCAGAATTTCAGCTGTTTTTTTTTTCCAGGGATCCACTTGCCACCAGTGCAGACAGAAGACAACCGACACCAAGACGAACTGTCGTAACCCAGACTGCTTTGGGGTGAGAGGGCAGTTTTGTGGCCCGTGTCTCCGCAACCGATACGGAGAGGAGGTCCGGGACGCTCTGCTGAACCCGGTAAGTTCTTCTGGATTTTGATCATAAGATGCGTGGATTCATTTTATCTACTTAAATATACAATATGTGAGAATTTTACATTGGAAAGAAGGCTACACTGACTGGCTGGGGAGTTCAGTTTCTCAAACGATGAAATTGTAATTCGACGCTGGCCGGCAAACTCACCAGGGTTGCTGGAAGAACAAAAGGCAGTAAAAGGAGCGACCCAGAAGTTATTTCTTGCGCCCTTAAAAAGCCACAACATCTTTTTATTTTAGTCTGACCCCTTTTTTCCACCAGATGTGAAAAAACATGTAACATAATTGTGGTTTATTCCCAACCGGGTGCATTTCAGATGTGAAAGGAGAGCAAAGGTGTTCCACACAGCTGGTCCTGTGTGATCTAGGGCTGAAACGATTCCTCGAGTACCTCGAGTAATTCAAGTACAAAAAAGCCTTGTGTCAAATTCTCTGCCTCGATGCTTCGTTTAATTAATTCATGGCTTTGCAATCGCCCGGGGTCATGTTTCACCTGGACCGAAATAATTGACGCACATACACACTGCACTGAATGCACACGCGAGTAGCGAATATAACTTAACTTTCTCCTTAAGCCATGGCGGACAACGTGGACCCCGGTGGAGTGCGAAAAAGACAGAAAATGTCAAAGGTGTGGGACCATTTTTCACGTCGTAAGGCAGAAAACGTAGTCCAGTGTAAATACTGTAAAATGGATTTAGCCTACCACAACACCACATCCTCCATGCTGCAGCACCTGTAAATGTCACTTCTGCAAGCGGACTCGGAGGTTCGCTATATATTCTGCGGACACTATGCGACTTTTGTTTGCAGCACTCAGGTTCAGCTCACACTGTGCTTCTGGTAGCAACGCGTCAGACCTAAAAATGTGCTAAAAAATAGCCGTTTTTACACAACACGTCAGACTTTTTATTGTGTTGTTATCGACGTCTGTTGTCCCTCGGGATTGCTGCAGGAGGACTCGGGTATTTATGAGAGTGGCGGAGGAAAACAAAATAAAGTAAATAAATGCTTTGTGATCAGTATAATTTGACATAACCACGGCAAACATGCTTTCTCGACAATCCTTGTTATTGTGTGAGATAAAAAGTGTAGAAATTAAAACGGACGTGTGTAAATAGGGAAACAGCCGGCGAGCCGTGTTTGCGCATGCGCCGTGAGCGGTTCTGGTGCTGTTTGGGCCGCAGCTGCTCGCAGCGCTGCTTCAACAGTTATCCTCCTAGTTTTTTTCTGGCTTGCCAGGCTAGTAGATTCTCGCGCGAGGGGAAAATCAGCTCAGGTTGTATACTTATTTTTTTGCACAGGCGTTTGTTTACTGTGAAGTAAAGTTGAAGTGCTGAAGTTTTGAAAACTAATTTTGAATAAAACTTAAAGAATAACTGGCAATTGCATGCTCATTTTAAGAGGTATTTCATATTTTATAACATGCTATTTTATATAATGGTTTACAAACACAAAAGGGTCATTTATTAGTCGATAAAAGATTCGATAGAGTACTCGATTACAAAATTATTCGATGGCTGCAGCCCTAGTGAGGTCTCAATTTCACAAGAGAATTGCAACACCACGTGTGATTTCATAAGAAAGTGTCCAGATAGTTTAAATGATAAATGACCTGCACTTGTACTTTCACTCAGAGTAAGGACTCCGAAGCGCTTTACGCTGCCTTCATGTTTGACTCCCTGTCTGGCCTAATCTAAACTGCAAACTTTGAAATGTTTTGGAAGTGTAGCGCTTCAAAAATACCTATCACTCGATACGAAATGGTAATACATTCCGCAACCCTTTCATGTTCAGTAGAAAGAAGGGGTATTGTCAGGTGAAGAAGGCTAGAGGCTAATGTTGAGCTATAAATGCTAAAAACGGTGAATGAAAAACAAATGGTCGGCTCTAGAAATATCTCCAGCTGCCTTTTCCAGTCACCAACAATTCCATTACAGTGAAATGTATTTATCTACTGTCTGGTGCTGAGCTGATACTGGCAACCGTTGCTCAGAGCAAACTAGCTTGTTTTGAGGCATGGACTGCAGTACCCCAATCTGACCACAGAGTGTTGTTCTTACTTAATGCACCTTTAAATCCCTGCAGGATTGGCAGTGCCCGCCTTGCAGAGGCATCTGTAACTGCAGCTTCTGTCGGGCCCGAGAGGGCCGCTGTGCCACCGGCGTGTTGGTCTACTTGGCCAAGTACAACGGCTTTGATAACGTGCACGCCTACCTGAAAAGGTACAGGTGCTTTGATGAAAATAGTAAATCCACTCAAAGATTTTGGGTTTAATTTTTAAAATTTGCTGACACGTTCTTTCTCTTGTGCAGCTTGAAAAAGAAAATGGAAGAAGATGGCAGCGAGTGAAGAGGAGGATCTGACTGACACTGTGTTTCTCACACCCAGACACTGTTCAAAGCATTTTAACTCGGAATGCTCATTGTTCCTGTTTATTTTGAGCATCGACTCAGCTGAGTCATTTGTTTTCTGCTGCAAAAAGAGTCCCTCCTGATGTACATTGTTTTAAATGTATTGCTTTTTTTAATTGCATGCCTAGCTTTTTTTTTAAAAATCGGCCTCTTTTGTGCCTTTACCTGTAAATTAAAGCTTATGTTTTTACAAGTTGTTTATGAAAAGCCTTTTCCTGCCCGATTTTGGTGAAACAGAGGGGGGTGCAGGTGAAAAAAGGGCACCCACCGAGGTCCACTGCTTCTCCCACTTCCAAACCGAGAGGAACTGTGATAAACTACAGCGCCTGGTTAAATATCCTTCATTAGATAACTGTCGCTAATGGTGTGGAAACAATTAGCACACTCTAATGGGAATCTCATACCTGTAAATCATTTGGTCCCGTTAAAGCTCTTTCTCGCTCTGCAGCAGTCTCTCTCTCTGGCTCATTTTCTGCTGTAGGTTGGGAAGTAATGGTTGAAGTAGAGTTATAGGCTGCATTTTTCTGTTCAGGATTATGATCCGCTACGCAAAATGACACAAATTAACCTTTGTGCCATTCGTCTGAGACGTACTTGGTCTGACCTGTGATGCTGGAGCAGGATGTGAACAGTTGCAGAGCTTTATGCAGGTGGAGGTTGTACTGATGCTTATTTTTGCAAAACAAATCCAAATAGTTAAAAAATGTCAATAAAAGTTTTCATTCTTGCAGCATCTATTGTTTATTTTCTTGAACTGTCATTGTTATTGACACAAACATGAATCCAGAGGGACTAAAAGGTATTTTTGTCTTGCTAAGATATCTGTGTTTATGGTTAAGTTTGCGTTCCTTCAGAGTAAAGGCCTTAAACAGTGAGGAGGTTTAGATTGTCAGTCAGCTGCCTGCACAAGCTTGACTGGGTCAGATAATCACCATTTACAGCAGCACTGTGCTGAAAAAAGGTGCAACACAAATCCATTACAAAATATGTCCACACACATGCACAATTTTATCAGATACTCTGAAAAAAAATTAATGTTTTTATCACGTTTGTAAAGTAGTGGAAAAACTTACTCATTAATTCTCACACCGGTCAAATTTATTTTCAATAAAGTAAAAAAAAAAACTTGACATTTTATCTTATTTACTTTTAGAAATCTAATAGATTATTCTGCTTGTTTTAAAAATTCTTGCCAACAACTTTTAATTACCTCATTAGCAGATTTTTATGAATTTGATCATATTTTAGAACACATTTCTAGTGATGCTATTTTGCAGATACATTTAGTGTTCATTTTTAGACTTTAAAATAAGATAAAATGTCTAAAACCGAGACTTAATAAACTTATCGAAAACCCGTTTTTGCAGTGCAGGAAAAAACCGCGTAACAGAACTTTTTTTTGTGAGTTTCAGCTCAATAATACCCAAAAATTATGTTTTCCAATCCAGAAAGTAAGATTCATGTTGGATTAATCTCGCGTACCAATAACATAAAATAGATAAAAATTTGCACTCTGTTGTTTTAGTGTTATTTTTGAACATATTTCAATTCCTGGTTATTTCATTTCTGACTTAACTTGTTCTCATCTTCTTGCATTTTTTTGTTGCCTTTTTGTGCACATGTAATCACTTAGTAGAGCTTCATTTAATGTAGTTTGTGCCACATTTGTATCAATTTATCTGTGATTGCTACTTTTTTTCATTGCTCATCATTGAAATATTTGAGAAATGAATTTCAACATAAAAGCATTGTTCTGTTTTGACTTAAAATACAAACATTGGAAAAGTAAAATTTTTTGCCCCCAATTTAAACCCGTCTTTGACCAAAACTGACTAAAAATAAAAACATGTAGAAAAACTCTGATTATTTGGTCCCTTTAGAACATTTTCAGTCGCTGTTTATGAATTGATATTCAATAAAATGATAATAAATTCTCACATTTTCGAGCTAAATGAGTATAAATATACATACATTTTTTTCCTGCCCTTTTTTCTTCCAAAAGGAGCACATCAACAACTATTATTAGTATAATAAAGATGCACTTGAAAATACTAGTCCTGTATTAAATATCAATGATCATCCACTTTGGGGTGATGAATATTTAGGGCAGTAATTGTTTACAACGCTCGAGCATTGAGCTGATCTGGTAATCAGGCTATGAAATACAATATTTATTCATTAGAGCAGATTTAATGAGGCCTTGCGGCGCTAATTATGAAAACCAGTGTAGCAGTAAATGAGTAGCGCTTGGCGGTGGGCTGCGGGGTACCTGTGAGGAGGGTCCAGGGGGGTGGAGGGGGTTTGGAGTGCCCTGATGTGACTGAGACCATCCAGCCTGCAGATACCTGCAGACAGGTTGCAGATGCACATCCCAGTGAGCCCCACTTTTAGGTATGACGTCTGGATTCCCCCTCCAAAGGAAAAAAAACAAGAATAATCTGCTTTATTTCTCACCAGCAGATCACAGAGGAGATAATCTCATAGCGGTGGCCCTTTTTAAACACCGTTCCACCGCTACTCCGACAGCTCTGACTCTGAAACTGAGTACTTCTATTTGCATGCAGCTCTGGAGATATGTGGTAGTATTTCACAGCGTAATATGAGTTTTGATTGACTGATATTTTCATTATGGCTGCAGGGTAGCGTGAAGACTGTTAATTTGCTTGAGAGTCCTGCAGGTCTACGGTGATTGTAGCGGAGCCAGAAGAAAAGCTGAATAAATGAAACTCACAGGGCACAATCACAATCCGTGGGTCAAAATCAACTGATTAATTATAATTTAGAATCAATCTGTCAGGCCTCTGTAATAAACACTCTTTCAGGCTTGCTGCTTAATAACCAGCTTTTACATGGTGCAACACTGTACAAAAGTACCTCCAGGGATGCTTGGATTAATGTGTTTTTGTGATAATTTAATAAGAAAAATGCATTTAGGAGAAAGACATGTTCGCTGTTTCAATTTTTGATGCAACTCATCAAGACTTTCCACACAAGCCACCGGCCCCCCACTGTCTTTGACCTCTACATTCTGTGGAGTATAGTGAGGAAAGTGCTGCTAAATGCATAGTGAGTGACTCTGGGTGGCAGGAGGCTTATGACATGTTCCTTTCCTCCCCGTTCCAGCCAGGAAAGTGATGGAAACAGCAGTTTGGTCCAGGTGTCAGGGACATTATCAAAGAAAAGGGCTGCCTGCAGTTGCTCCATCTCACAGGAAATTGCCAACTCACCCTAACAAAGGAAGGCATAAGTGCACTCGCTGCTGCCTTCAAGGGGAGCGTGATAAGATGACATTATAAATACAGAATTGTTCACAGAGGTGGAGGGGCCGGCACATCAGGCGGCTGAACTTGGCAATTTAGTACCTTGTGCACACGTCCAAAAGCCTCTGCTGGATTATCTAAAGCAACATCAGCTGCTTATCCAGTGCATTTTGTTAATATGGGTAATTGTTCGTTTCTAAACTGCTGCGTGCTAAAGTTTACAGCGTCAGTTGCATACAAACAATTCAATAATGCAAAATCATTAGCAAAAAAACCACAACATATAACAAATCTTCAGTAGCTCACAAGGAAATAAGGATTCATTTTCCTGATTGTTTTGCATAATTTTACAAACGATGTGTTAAATATTTGCATTTAATCACACACAGACTCTCTTTGCAGTTTTCTATTCTAAAGGTGAAAACAAAAAACTGATTTAGATAATAAGTATAAATACAAATTTCTGGAAAACTATGTTGCACACTGTTGTCACGTTAGCCTGGTGTTAAATAGTTCTCCTTGTTACCTGAAGGGGGAGCTCCAATACAGGTAACTTGTCTTGCTTTAACTTCCAACAAGTATTTAGAGTTTTTGAGGAAATAAAGGATCTAAATAATATGCATATATCAAACAATTTAACTGAAATGAGTCAAAACACAAATAAAGACAGGATTTCTTATTGTAAAAGACAGAAATGTTTAAAGTTTGATGCAGGATGATGATTATTCAGAGATTACACTGGATATTTGTGCAAAGTGTGTATAGGTGATGCTCAGGAACTGAGGAAACTGTTGGTGTCGTGCTGGGGGTGGAGGTGGGTGGGGAGATTATGATCAGGTCTTTAATCTGGACATCTATTCCAACCATAAGAGTTGGCACGTGGGACTGATTTTATTGAGATCATGCATTATAAATGGGGCATGGAGCCTTGAGAAGGCGACGTTCACAGGTTTCATTAATTTTTACATCATTAACTCTCCCCTTCAGAGCCCACGACTGCAGGTCAGGAATTGGGGCTGCGGGCACGTGAGCCGCAGCCGCCTTTTGCTGGAGCACAGTCAAAACAAATCAGTAAGACAAACTAGGACTGATTAAGGTTCATGTGCTGTCACTTCATTTGAACATGCGCAGAAAGGACGTAAAAGCTGAGGAAATCTACGGAAGCTTTAATGTTACAAAGTTCTGTAACTGGCAAAAAGGCCCTGTGAGTCTATTCTCATCACATCCCCATTTAAAGGTAGCTCTTCTGTTTTCCTGCAGTGTTTTTACTTACTTTTTGTGCCTGAGTGGCACTTCGGCGGTGGCTTTTTTGTCTCACAGCAAGGAATTTGAAAGTCCCCAGTGGGCCTTTTAGAATGAACCATTTGTTTAATATTATAGCCTTAAACCTAACAATATCAATCAGTCATGAAAGCACCTTGCATGCTGCTGTGCCCTGCATCACCATTAACTCCACACAAGTGACGGCCTCTGTTGGATCGCAGGGCGAGCAGACGGAGGGTGTCTGGAGGTAAATAAATGGATGGTGTCGGTTTGCTTTGGCACCCCCTCCCGTCCTCCCTCCCTCACCCCTCCTCCCTCGACTCAACTCAACCACCCTTCTTCCTGTTTTTCTTTCCCTTCTAACAATGTAGGTGAGGGAGTGTGTTCCGGTGGGGGGATGCAGGAGAAAAGTTGGAGCAAAGTCTAAATGTAAAAACTACTGAACACATTTAATTTCCCTCAGAAGCATCTAGAACTGTCAGAAAGACTGTGTCTTAGTCAACTCAAAATTCTGCACAAATTATTAAGCAGAAAAAAGACATTAATATGGATATATATCTTCTTATATACACTCAAAAAATACCTTGTTGAGTTATCACAAAAAATAGTTAGTTTTTTTCTGTTCAATTTGTGGAATAGTTCTAATTTACTTTAACCAGATTGCTATAAAATATCTTTCCCATATTTGTTTAAAGTCTCAAAGTTGTACACTAATAAAACTAACATGTATAAACATACTTGTTGAATTAGGTTAATGTCTCACAGCCACATTACTGTTGGTGATAACTTGTAAACATTATTCGCAAGGGAGTTTCCAAAATGTCTCAAAACATTAGTTAGGATTTGCGAGATCCTCACAAGAGTAACACATTCTACTAAATGAAATCAACTTGACAAAGTAATGTCAACTGGATCCACTTTGTCTAGTCGGTTAAATGTAAAAAGAATAACACATTGTTACATGTTATGTTTATTACTCTTTACATTTAAGCAGCTAGGTTTAGCGGAACTAACTCACATAATTTGGTTAAGTTAATTTATCCTTTATTTTTTAGAGTGCAGGAGTTCAGGTCAAAAAATGATTTGCGTGACACTGAAAACAGAGTTGTTGCAGGCATCTGAAATTTGCTCATGATTTAGATTTCAAGCGTCAGAACATGCAAGAAGAGTAAAACTGTTGTTAAATAAAATTGCTTATAAAGATGAACCA